ATATCAGTGAGTTCTGGGTTTGGCTGAGAGATTCTGCTTTAATGACATCATCAGCCAGGAACCTCCACATGCTTGTAGGTCCATGTGTGTGCATCCCTACCTACACACACGCACACATGAGCATAGATACATGTGCGTACATATCTAGCAACACACACACACAAATGAAAAAGGGAAATAAATTTAATTAAACTACTTTATGAGTCAGCACTGTCACTAATGAGTATATATGCAAAGGAAAGGAAATGAACACATGAGATGTCTGCACATCCATGTTTAATAGCATGATCCACAATAGTCAAATGTCAGTGAGTAACAAGATGATACTTTTTAGCCTTTTCAAAAGGAAAGTCCTGTTGTTTCAACAATGTTGGTGAACCTACAGAACATTTTTACATAACTTAAAGCCAGGCACACAGAGTCAGTACTGTGTGATCTTATTTATATGTAGATTTCTGTGCAACTCAAGTAGACAGTAAGGTCAAGTTCTCTAGGGTATTAATTAGTTCAGGGGCATGCAATTTTGGTTAAACAGGAAAAGTTAAGCCTAAGGAACATATTGCACAATAGGTCATAACCACATGGAGATGATAATAATGTAGTTTAAAATATCATTAAGTTAGGTATGCTTTCTGTGGCAACAAAAAGTATGTGAGGAAACATATTAGATCAATTTATGTGTTCCTCAATGTATATGCATCTTAAAACATTGTGTTGTGTACCAATTTATAAAATTGTGTCACTTAAATTTAACTAATTTATAAAAATAATATTTATACTAAATACCTGTATAATCTCTGCTAAAACTTCCAGACATCTCTTTTTTGACTTACCAGTATATTGTGGTATCAGTTCTAAAATATCAGACACCCTTGCTTGTATCCCTAGAACTAAAGCTACTCTGGTACAGTAGTCCTTTAACACATGGCTTACAGTTTCTTTAGGATTTTCTCTTAAAGACATAAATAATACTGGCCCATAAACTGTTTGTGAGCATATATATATATACATATATATGGATGGAAAGAGACAGAGATAGATAGATGATAGAAAGATAGATAGATAGAAAGATAGAATCATAAATCCTTTATTTCATTATGCAATTTTTTTGCTGGCTTCATAAAGTGAATTTGATAAGCTGGTGTGTCTTCTAATTATAATAAGCATAAGAATCTTTTGTTTTGAAAGCTGCAAAGACTCGAAGCATGCAGCCATGTGGGCTCAGAACATTTTATTTTTAGTTCATTTGAGGCAACGTAGCCTTTTTATGAAAGAAGTCAACATATACAAACATATTTATACAGAATTCTTGATTTACATTTAGGACTGCCTGCATAGATTTAATTATAACATATCAAGTCTCTGTTTGCTCTCTCTCCAGTTACATTTTTCACATTTATGTATTAAACAGAGAGTGAGCAGTGTCCTGTTTGTTTGATTCCAACAGTACCTGTTTGTCATGAGGAGCCATCGCCTAGTTAGTTTCTGGCTGGCCTGGAATCCTTATGGTCACCCCAGAGCAGGTCATGGTGGAAGAGGAAGCCTGACCAACGCTACCTGCTTGCTTGCTGAAGCTGTTTCAGACAGAGAGACTCAATTACCAATCAGCATTTTCAGAAATTGACACGTTAGCAAAGATACCTTGCCAGTAGCTTTCAATGTAAAATGGCAACTGGATTGATTCATAACCTAAAACACAAAAAGAAAAGGGAAAAGAGGGGAGGGGTGAGGAGGTACTAGAAGGAAAGAGGAGGCCTTGATCTGACTTTGGACTTGAGTCATGGTTTGCAATAATAACTACAAAGTTCCACTAATCAGAATTCAATAAGTCCAGAAGTCTGGCCAAGCTTAAGACTGCCAATGGTCAATTTGCCAAAATTTCTTTCAGTGTACCTTAATCATTCTTAGTGTTTAAAAATGACCTAATTTAGGTTTGTTTGGTTTAGGACTTTAAACAGCTGTTTTTAAGGGTACAGATTCTTGATTGACAGAATCAATCCATGGTACCTATCTGTCCAAATCTGAGCATGGCAGCATTTAGAAAAACATTCAGACATTTTTCCATTGATGGTATTGGGTACTATGTTGGCTTGATTGAATGTGCAAATCTACATAAGGTTTTGCCTCCAAGTCTGCACTCAGCCAGGTGGAGACTTAATGCAAAATAGATTTGCTTTCTTCCTGAATTTTCATCTTACCTGTTCACAGGAAATCAATATGGCTTATATAGACACAAATGATGACTTTTTCCATCCCTGCTTGTTCCCATTCCTGCCCCCATCATTTATCAATTTCCATTTTAAAAAAAAAATAAATCTCAAGTTTCTACTTTGGATAGACTAGCGGTGAGGTATGAATACTTTTCAAAAACAAAAGGATAAACTACTTATCCTTGGCTTCATACTCATTCCAAACTGATCTTAACTATGGAACATTCCAGAGAGGCTGTGCCTGCTCTTGTCATGGGGGAACGTGAGCTCTCAGGTACCCTGGCTCCCCAGCTGCTACACCTACTGCACATGAACTAACATGCCTGTGCTTTGGGTTCAAGTGCTTTGTTTGTTCAGTTTTGAAATTATGTTTTATTTATTCCTCTCTGTTTCTGTCTCTGCCTCTGCCTCTGCCCCCTCTCGTGTGTGTGTGTGTGTGTGTGTGTGTGTGTGTGTGTGTGTGTGTGTGTGTGTGTGAGGGGTGTGTGTATTATGTATATGAATATGTGTGTATGGAAGATAGAGGACAATTTGTAGAAATTGGTGCTCCCCTCCCTTCACATGGATTCTAGGATCACTCAGATCCTCAGGCTTGGGGCAAAGTTCCTTTACCCACTGAACCCTCTGGGCAACCTCATATGTTTTTGTAATAAGTGACAATTGATTCCCTAGTTGTTGATATCCTGAAGATTCCTTACTGTAAAGTTTTAATATATTTGGTTTGTGTAATAATACTCTGTGAAGATTCCGACAAGATTAAGACAGCTAAGTTTTAAGTCTGGACTTCTTTAGAAATAAGGCATAATTATATTTATAACTTAGGAGGACATGTGAATTGATTAAAAATTATTAGCATCTTTCTGATGATTAGTATTATATTCAGTGGCTTTAAAAATGAGTTAGAACACCTCTGCATTTAGCAAATAATAATAAAATTATTTTGATTCCATTTGGTTTGCAGGGTGCCATCGCCTGAGGCTTGGGTCTTTGTTATTGTTTCCCAAGCCCTAATCTCCTAACAGCACTGGAAGATATTTTACTTCCCTCCCTGTTACCTGAAGCTGATACAGAAATGACCCTTTGAAACAGAGAAGAATGAGTGACCTTGAATTATTCAGGATCTTTAATATTAATGAATAGACTTCTCAGAGCTCTTAAAAATAGTGCAACTTCAGTTACCACTGATGTTCCCCTAGTTGCTGAGCACTCAGAAGGAGAAACCTACCCTGTGTGAGAATGCCGTACCTGGGAATCTACTATTCCTCAGCCTTCCCTACTCCCAAAATGGTGGGGTCACAGCTTCAGTGATGGAAACTAAGAAAGGTAAGAGGCTGTCCTGTGCATCTCCGGCTGTTCAGACTAAATGAGAGGTTGCCTCTCCACACGGCCTGGGGCTTCACGGGGTACATGTGGGGACCCTGCTGTACTATACTGCAGTAACTATACAATAACTCTTGCTGCATCTTTCCAAAAAGATACCACTTGAAATATTTGAAAACATCCTAGGTCTTATCAAGTCTTGGGTTGCCACTATTGCCATTATTTTTTTTTCCATTTCATTTTTTGAAAACTCGAGACAGAATGTCATATGGACTAGGCTCGCTGTATAGCCAAAGAAGGCTATGAACTTCTAATCCCCCTGAATCTGTCTCCCAATTATGGCCATGCGTTCATCACTATCCTCACTTCCTGTGGTCTGGGATCAAATCCGGGGCTTCACGCATGCCAAACAAGTACTCTACCAATTGAGCTACATTCCCTCAGCCTATTATCATATTTTAAAGGAAAGATGGAATCAGTATCTGATTATTTAAAATTGTATTTGTCTGCCAAATGAGTTTTATTTCCAGCCATTCACTCACTGGAGGAGTGGAAAATGTATCTCTTTTTGTTTGCTTGCTTTTGGTTTTTCAAGACAGGGTTTCTCTGTAGCTTTTGAAGCCTATCCTAGAACTTGCTGGGTAGACCAGGCTGACCTTGAACTCACAGGAATCCACCTGCCTGTGCCTCCTGAGTGCTGGGATTGAAGGCATGTGCCACCACTGCCTGAATAACAAATATGCCTTTTTTTTTATTAGAATTGTATAAATATTTCTTGCAATGTGGCATTCTTTTTTAAATTCCTTTTAGATTGTTCATTTTATTTTATGTGTGTGAGCATCGCACCTATATGTATGTCTGTGCAACGCATGCATGCCTGGTGCCCATAGAGGTCAGTGGAGGGTGTTGGATCTCCTGGAATTGGAGTTCCAGATGGCTGCCAACAACCATGTGGGTGCTTGGAACCAAACAAACGTCCTCTGTGAGAGCAACAAATGCTCTGCACCACCATGCCATCTCCCTAGCCCAAGCATAACATCCCTTTTGTTGAAAGAGTATAGTTTAAATAAGAACCATGTTATGTTAAACAATTACATAAAACTATTAACCAGGGAGCTGGTCCACTGACTTTTCTAAACTGAAATACGAATGTATATGTATGACACATGGATACTATTTGCTAGAAGTTATATATATGGAATTATTTGATATAGTTCTATCAGAAATTTAAACAATTGGGGGCTTCATACTTGGCCCTTAGCATTCAAGTAAACTTAATACTTTTTCCCAATGTAATTCAGTCCACTTTTAAAATGAAATTGTCTCAGATTTTTAAGTTTTAATTTAATTGAAGTATTCCCAGGTTTCTGCAGAAGGAATCTCTACCCCAGGGCTTCTTGTCTTCACCCCCTCCCGCGCCCCCAAGGCATGTGGTAGTCTCCCTGAACAGCTGTGTTCACTGCTCCACAGGTGAATAAGCTGTTGGCTGCCCCTCATCCATCATCCTTCCGCTGTGAAGCCTTCCGCAGAAAACACGGCTTCATTTCTAGTTACAAGGACTGTCTTGCCATCTGTCCCATCATCCCAGGAAATCAATGAGATGGACCCTTGTAAGCAAGGTGAGCACTTACTGTTAGGCTTTTCAACATAGACTGTGGACAAAAATTTAGACATAGACGTTGTTTTAGACTTCCAAGTCACGGAGTAGAGATCAGGCAAATTTGGGGGTAAAAGTAATTTATTGGATAACTAAACAATCACCTCGATTTTTAACAGAAATCCATAACATGAAGAAGAATATTTAATCTTATGTCTCTAAAATGCCAGGAATAATTTAACAAAAAAACTTAGCATTAAAGTAATTATTTTTTAAAATGTTTTTATTTTATTTATTTTTACATATCGATCCCAATTCCCTTTCCCTCCCTTCCTTTCTCCCTCCCTCCCTTCCTCTTTCCCTCTTTCCCCCTTTCACATGCACCCCAACCACCCTCCCCTCCCATCCACCCCCACTCAACATGTAGGGTAATGCCATCCAGGAAGGGTGATCTAAATCGATCAAGTCTCTAGGTTAAGGGAGTATTCCTTCATGGGGGATGTGTCTGCAAGGTCTTTTTGTGCACCAAGAATTCATCTTGGTTCCACTGTCTGAGGTCCCTTAGACTGTTCAGGCCTTCTAGCTGAGACCCATGTTCAGGGGGACTGAGTCAGTCCCAAGCTGAATTCCCAGCTATCAGTCTGGGGGCCTGTTAGCTCTTCCTTGTTCAGATCAGCTGTCTCTATGTGTTTCTGCAGCATGGTCTTGTCCTTTCCATCTGCATCTGGGTTCTAGTTCGGCTCAGTGTTTAGTTGTGGGTGTTTGCTTCTGTTTCCAACAGGTACTAGATCCATAATGGTGGCTAAGTTAGTCATTGATCTCATTATCAGGAAAGGGCATTTATGGTAGCCTTTCCATGGTTGCTGAACTTGTTAGGTTGAGTCAGCCTTGTAGGTCTCTGGACATTTCTTTAGGTTCAGTTTTCTCTTCAATCCTGTAATGGCTCCCTCTTTTATGTTTTCTCTCTCTCTCTCTCTCTCTCTCTCTCTCTCTCTCTCTCTCTCTCTCTCTCTCTCTCTCCTCCTGCCTTCTATTCCTCCCCTGGCTCAATCTTCCTAGTCCCACATGCTTTCCTCTCCTCCACTTTCCTTTCTCCTAGTTCTCTCTCCACTCACTGCCCCCCACTCCCCATGTGCTCTGGAGAACTTGTCCCTCCCCCCTTCTGTGAGGAACTTGATATGAATCTCTTAGAATACACCTTGTATCCTAGTTCCTCTGGCGGTGTGAATTATAGGCTGGTGATCCTTCTAGGTCGGTCTAAAATCCACATATGAGTGAGTAGATACCATGTTCCTCTTTTTGTGACTAGGTTACCTCATTCAGGATGGTTTCTTCAAGTTCTGTCCACTTGCCTGCGAATTTCAAGATTCCATTGTTTTTTCCACAGAGTAGTATTCCATTGTGTAGATGTACCACATCTTCTTTATCCATTCTTCAGTTGAGGGGCATCTAGGTTGCTTCCAGGTTCTTGCTGTTACAAATAATACTGCTATGAACATAGTTTAGCACAAGTCTTTGTTGCATGGATGTGGATCATTTGGGTATATGCCTAAGAGGGAGATTGCCAGGTCCTGTGGTAGACTAATTCCCATTTTCCTGAGGAACTGCCATACTGTTCTTATCACAAATACTTGTATACTGTCATTAAAATAACATCTCTGTACATGCTTTATTGTCAAGTTAAGTTTACAGTCCAACCTGGACCAGAGAGAGAGAGAGAGAGAGAGAGAGAGAGAGAGAGAGAGAGAGAGAGAGAGAGAGATCCCCAGCTATCCAAAACAGATATTTGGTAAATAGATATGGGGAGAACTAATTGCCCTCTTCCCAACATCTCTCAGTGCCAGGGTAAACCCCAGAGTGGTTGATGGCCTTTCTAGTTTTGAATTTATTTACATCTTTATTTCCTTAGCAAATCTAGATTGTTTAACATAGTTGTTTGATTTAAAATTCTATAATATCATATTATTTGTTGAAAACAACAATGTAAATGTTTCAAGTTATCTTTGGCCTTTTCAAATTGGAGGTCTCCTAACAATATGCTAAGAACAAAGCAGCAGATAACCTATTTACAGTCCAAATTTCGCCTCAAATGCAATGTTTCTCAATTCGGAATGAATTCATGGAGCTTGGTAGATGTTGGGTTCTGTCTATAAAGTTTGTGATTTGGTGTTTCTGGGGTAAAGTCTGGGAATGTTCATTGTTGGCAAATTCCCAGCCAACACCAACGGGCCTTTTTTGGGTCATGTTTTGATGACCACTAGCCTACCATGTGAATTACTGGATGTCAAACTAATGATGGGAAATTGAAAGAGATATTGTCATATTCAACTTGGTATCTGTGGAAAATAAACACAATAATGTGACTGAGAAAAAAAAAAAGAATGGTTTTAAGCCAAAATTGTTTCTCAAACTGCTTCTATGAACAAAAATATAGACAGCTTGTGTTATTTTAACTTTAATCATCTAAAACTGCTTGTTCATAGCTTAAAGCTTGAGACATACAGCCATTCCTCCTTTTCTAGAGTTTGCTCCCATTATCATCAAAAAGTAATAATGGAGCCCTGAGGAGGTGGGGCTGGAAGGGCACCTGGGATACTCACACATTCTCCACGGTACATTGTATCACAGCTTGCCATGTTATGCTGCATAGCTTCGTCAGATGACGCTGCAAAGCATCACTTGACAGGAATGATGGGCCAGATGGCTATGCAGCTCCATGCCTCTCCTTCAGTAGAAGCTGCAGCTGGGGACCCGCAAGGCCCTGGGTTTGCTGACTCTCTATATCTGCTTGATGTATCAGAGAGAAAGCAGGGCACAGAAACCTGCCGATTTCCATGGGGGACAAAAGTGCAAGATATCGTACTTTTGTAAACTATTTCTGCTCTTCTATGCCTACTCTCAGTGTGTCCTTCTGCATAAAAATGCTAGGATGTTCCTGCCTTGTCCTAATCTCTAATGTTGTCTGAAAAGTAAGCATATTAAAAGCACAAGGAAACACTGAACCCAAAAGAATTAGAGCAAACTGTGGTTCTGTAATTAGCTGGTGTAATGCTTATTGAGAAAGACCAGACATGAAGGATGTCAGGGTATTGTCTCTTGCTTGGATAACAGTCTTAGATCAGACCCCTATATCTACTTTATATAGGGGCCTTTGCTTATTAAATCAATACACAATTGGGGGTTCTTTGGTATTTATGAAGAATTGATTCTAAGACCCAAGAGATTCAAATCTCTAAATTATTGCATTCCTCATATAAAATGTCATGGCACTTGCATATACATATATATGCATATCTGACCCTTACCAAAACTCATCCCTATATTGTGTATAATACCTATAAAATACAAATTCCAGGGAAATAGTTCTTATTATGTATTATTTGAGGATTAATTTAAAGAAAAAGTCTGTGTTCTTTATAGGTACAATTTTATGACTATTTTTGATCCTTCACCTATTGAATTGCAGATGTGGAAATTTCAAGTATAGTCACCTGCTAAATTCAGACTATGGCTTATAGTATGCTCTAACTTTGCAAAGATGGATGGCTTGGCTCAGCAGCGCCTTGCTGAACCACCCAAACATGGGATTTTCAGCTGGATTCACAGTAGTAGCAACTATGAATTTCTTCCTTGAAGCAGGGAAACAGGCATTCTATCAGAAAGCAATTGTTACCATAAGAGATGTGTGTTACGAGTAGTTTTCCTGGTCCTGCTGCCGGACCAGCCCCAAATAACACACAGAGATATTGTATTAGATATAAAGCTTTTGGCCTGTTACTAGCATTTCTTATTGGCTAGCTCTGTCTTAAATATTAACCCATTTCTGTTCATCTAAGTGTTTCCACATGGTCTTATCTTACCAGAGAGAGGGTCTGGCCATCTACTTTCTTGGTCCTACATTGTTGAATCTCCTCCTCCCTCTCCCTGAATCCTCCTTGTCTCCTGATCCCACCTATCTTGCTTTCCTATTGGCCAACAGGGCTTTATTCATATTTACAGAATGACATCTTCCATCAGATGTACCATTATTGTATCAGTGAGTTAATATTGCCCAGGCAATATTGTTGCGTATGGGGTTTGTAGCTGAATAAAATTGTTAATGACAATTCTTCCTCAGCAGTCTACACAGGACCTTCTGGCAACATGGAATAAAATTTCTTGATGATGTTTGACCATGCCTAGAGGCAGTCCTGATTGTCATCTTTATTGCACAAGATAAGCATGTCCAAAAATGTCTACATTTTTAACCTTTCAAGAATGTGCTCTATGTCTTAGGCTAAGCATGCCCAAAAATGTCCCTGCTATCTTTGCTTCTAGACTGGTGATTCTAAAACAAATGTGTTAGTAATGTACCATTTAACATGTTCAAAATGTGGCTGCCCCTCAACTGCACAGAAATGTAGCTAGAGACAGGTACGGATATAGATATAGATATTCTACTCTTCTCAAATAAAAGTTCATGTTTTCTTTATTCAAGGAAAACAATCCTTGAAAAGAAATCCCATGGTCAGCATGGCTGTCAGCAATAACTCTTTCTCTATTGTTTTATTTCTTGGCAGTGCTAACTTTGACTTTGCACTCACTAGGATGCAAGCTTGTTAAATTCTGTTTCATGAGGGCCTCAGTAGAGTGGATTTGATGGACTGCTCCTTAAATTCAAAGAAGCCTTGGCTCTCCCCTAACAAATTAGAAGAGCTTGGTCTTGGAAACACACACAGGATTGACTGAGGAAATATTACCTTTCTCACCACTTAAATTCTCCAATTGCTGCCTGGACAACAAGCAAAGCAAAGAATGTTACTATAACTCTCCTGCTGCATATGCCTGAGTCAGTGAAATCCACTGAGCTCCTCCTTATTTCATTCCTTTTGGGGGCTCACTCAGCAAAGACTGAAGGGCCAGCTGTGTTTCTAATCACAAAATTTCCCCTGCACAGTAGCCCACTTATTCCCAATGCCCTGAATCTTAGAAATCAACTGATGTTAAATTTGAAATTAGTTGTATTTTCAAGTCTTTTCCTCCTTAACATAACTAATATATCAGTCTTGAGCTCAGAGCTTAGCTATACACAAAACATTTGCCCCAGAGGGAACATTATGGTTACAAACTATTTAGCTGAAATTTGTCATTACAAAAAATATTCAATGTACAAGTTGCTCAAAATACAAAACACGAGGACATCTCTTTCCAAATTTTACAAAATTTTTCCTCTCTTGCTCATAGTTCTAATTAATCCTAATTTCATTATTCCCAATTTTTTATACCCACTTTCTTCTCTTGCTTCCTATTGTTGTGATAAATACCATGATCAAAAGCAACTTGAGAAAGGAAAGGGTTTACTTCATGTTACAGCTTAAAGTCAGTAAGGATGGGACTTCAAGGCGAGATCTATAGCAGAAGCCATGGAGGAAAGCTGCTTACTACCTTACTGAGCACCCCACTTGCTTGACTGGCCTTTTTGTACAACTGAGAAACACCTTCCCAGAGGTGGCACCATCCCTAGAGGGCTGAGCCCTGACACATCAAGCAGTGTCCCACAGACTTGACTGAAGGCCAGTATAATAGAGGTGTTTGCTCAATTGAGGCTCCCTCTTTGCAGATGACTCTTGCTTATGCTATGTTGACAGAAGAAAAAAAATCACACTCATCCCCATTCATAAAGAAAACAGTAGCTCTCAGACAAGAACAGATACCACCATCAGATCTTTTTATATTAGTCTTCCTTTTGGGGAGTAGGGATGGGATACTCAGTGAAGCCAATCCCTTCAGTTGTGCACCCTCTCCCATCCAGCCTCTCTCTCTACTAGTGTTAGCTATATTCAGCTGCAACAGAAAGTTTTGTTCAAAGAGGCTTTATCTTGTGTTATCGATAACTCCATGGAGAGTTATAATGAGATGATGATATCACAACAATGCATTGCATTCTTGTCGGTTGCTAAGGGGCCAGATCTTAACTGTTCTCACCACCAAAAAGGTATAATTGTGTTAGGTAAAGCAAATATTGGTTTTATTTGTGTAACTGATCTACAATGTGTACATATATGCTAAAGCAACATATTATACAAAGTAGGACTTGGAGGAGCAGTATAGCCCAGTGGTAGAGTAAGTTGCCTAACACATATCCATGTTGCATCTTTTACACTGAGAAAAACATTTTACATTATAAATCTATATGGTTGCTTCTGTTAATTGATGCCAAAGTGAAAGGCAAGACTAGCCAATGCTATGCTCAGAAGCCATCAGCAGGCAGCAGTGCACCCAGCACATCTCTGCTCTTTTTCTTTGTGTTGGTTTCATTCTCGAGGTGCAAACTCTGACAGGAGAGTGATTTTTGCTCTGATCCATATTTCCAAGTTGAAATCCAGCAGGAAAAACTCAGTTGGCCCGATGCCTTGAATACGGATTTCTTGAACCAAGTTTGGGGTGGGGAGCTAAATTGTGAGTTTAAATTGGTATAGACTTGGGCTTCGTTTCCCTATGGACAGAGGAAAGTTGGCATTAATAAATGTAGCATTTCAGGAACTCAGATTAAGGGAAATAGTTCATTAGAAAAGAAGTGAAGGTATGTCATATGGGCATGCACTACCCCAAAGGGATTTGGCTATGACAAATTTTTCCTAGTCCTAGATTTCTTTGAGTCTACAACTAGTCTCTCTCTTCTGGCTTCTCCTCCATAGAATAAGCATATATACATACACATATACATACATGTATTCTAGAATCTCTCCTGCCCCTGCAATTCAGTCTTTGTGTTACATGCTGTTTAATCTGGTTTTCTCATCTTCCCTTTGGATAAGAGGTCTTGAAAAAGTCATCTAAAAATCATATGCATTGGAGGTTAATTCTGAACCTTTCTTCTCCACTCAGTCCTTTGCATGTTGAGGTCTACTATCATGACAACCCTCAGCCTACTCTTTCAAAGACTTCAGGAGCCAAGTTAAACTCATAAACAGATGATAATTTAGGATGTTCTTGTGGTATGTGGGTATCAAACCCATAGCTTTTCTCTGCTTTCTGAAGTTCACCTGCTGTATATTGTGCTAATTGTTAATAAAACAAACTGACTGGCTGATAGTGGGGCAAGAAGAAACTTGGTGACACAGAAAGAATGATGGGAGGAAGGGTGGAGTCAGGGAGTCAGGAGACATCAGCCTGCTATCCAGCAAGCATAGAAAGTGAGGTAACAAGCCATGAGCCACAGGGCAAAGCATAGATAAGAAATGTGGGTTACCTTAAGTGTAAGAGTTGGCTAGTAGCAAGCCTGTGCTATCAGTCAAGCATTTATAAGCAATATCAAGCCTCTATGTTGCTTTTTAGGAACAGGTGGTCAGGACAGGAAAACTCTGTCTACGTTCACAATCTTTGACCTTCAGCGACTGCTTTCTCCCACTATCACTGGCTTTCTTTCTGTGTTTCTTCTTGAATTTTTCATCCTCTTCAGTTAATTAACTGACTGTATTTCTCAAATTCACCACTGTTACTTAGCCATACCTTCTATTTACCAACTATACTCTACTCAGGCAACCTAAGTGATGCATATGATATTGTTCGCATTGAACAATGATGACAGCTGAATCTCTGGCTCAGTTCAGCTAGCAGCCTGAATGTGAGATGCATAGCCAACAACTGAGGACCTGATCAGTACTCCATGTAGCTTCTCTCCCAAGCATTCTCTAAAGCAGAGCGCTGTCAATACACAATCTCTAACCACACATGACCTTTGAATATTTGACATATGGCTACTGTGAACTGAGATGTAACACAAATGTAAATTTCATGTGGTAAAACACATCATGAATAATTTGATAATATTAATGTGGAAAAATAAGGATTGGGAAAAACAGGCTGAATAGATGTTTATTCAGGGAGAAATAACTTACAAAAGAGACAGATGAACACCAGCAGGTTCCAGTCCCAAGGGTGCCTCCGGATGCTCTCCATCCAGGAAGTAAGAGAGAGTTCCAGGGTTCCTGACCCCAGACCTAGTTCTTCCAGGTCACATCTGCCCCATCCCCACCCCAATGGGCATGGTCAGTGAGACAGGTGCAGGAGGGGTGAATTTCTCACCACATAATATGTTCAACAATATCTTGGCATCCTTGCTAAAAAGTAGGAGGAGAAAGCACAATAATATCCTATATCCATGTTATAATATACCACCCATCTGAATCAATAAATAAAATACCAGACATTAGAACAACCATTTGACTTCTCTGCTGTTGCAAACAAACAGACCATGCCAAGAGAGTCTTCAACTAAGTCAGTATCCACTGACTGGATTTGGCACAAAATAATAGGCTTAATTTTATTTTTGTTTCTATTTGTGAATACTAACCTATACACATATTCATATATTTAAAAGGAAGACATGGTAACTGATACCAAGATCTTTAGATGAGATTATTGTCTATAGATAATTTCTAAAAGTCATTTACAAATTCCCTGGACCTTAGACAATTGTTCTAGGATCAATAAATTCATTTTGTAAAAGAAGCTTTCAAAACTTTAGCTTATATCACATCTATTTGAAGTCCTTATTTAAGTGCACATTACTGTGCCTGTCCCTGGAGTGTGTTGACAGCATGCTACAGCCATGTTAGGATGTGCATCTGTAACAAGCCCCAGGTGATGCAGATGTAGCTACGCTCTGAGGACTACACTGCTTTGTACCATCAATAACCAACTTTAGCAGGCAATTTCAGATGCCTAAAATAAATTGAACAATTCATGTTTAAGACTTTATAAGGCTTTCCTGAACTGCATTACCAGCATGAACACATGAGGAGATCATCCACAGTCTTAAATTTTGCTAGCTGTGAAGACCAATCACTAGTCTTGTCAGACAAGAAATATGTCATGAGACAACAAAAAAAAAACTATGCCGTGAAATGATCACATATCTTTTATTAGCATTTACAGGTAGAATAACATCATCGATCTTAATTGTCTCAAATACAAAATAAGACTACAGAAGCTTTCTGATTCCCTCCCAGGATGTGGGATATAGCCAGTGAGATAAACCATATCCACCATGCTTCATGTTTTCTCCTCAGGTGCTCTTAATAGGACTGAGAATTCTGTCTATAGAACAGCCTTCAAATTACGATGCATGCAAACTCTTTGCCAATGTAAGTACAATTTCTTGTTGACACTCAAGACAATCTAATCTTGAGGATGTGTGATGTTCAATTCATGGGGAATGAATAAATAAATAAATGATGAATAAATAAAACCTGTCCTACTCATGTACCTGCCTGGATCAGGAAGGCTGGACCTGTGCATTTAAACGGTTGATAATATACAAGAGGATGGGGGTCGAGAGAGAACATTGTGAGCAAGCCACCTATATGTTGCTTCACTGACAGCAATAGGAAAGGTGGGCCAGGATTTTTGAAAACAAAATGAAAAATCCCAAACACCAAGATAAAGTATTACATGCGCTCCAAATAGCAGGACCCAGGACTATCACTATTTGAATCTTGTGAGATTAATGGACAGCACCTTTATCTGCATTGCTATAATACAGAATTCTCACCAAAGACAGGAGCTCCCAGCATTCCAAATGTCAGGCCCAGGCGATAGGGGCTTGTGATCAATGATGAAAGAGTTTACAGACCGTGGCCAGGTTGTATTTAAATACTGTTCACAAAGCTTGCTCCCCTCTGCCTGAGACTTTTCCCTTCAAATCAATATCAGAAAACAAAAAGTTTTATTATGCTTGGTAGATCCCTTATCTGTGAGGGTGATTTACGAGAAGTAGTGAGAGGTACAGCATTTTATCATTTCACAAGCCCAAGTGTTTTAAATGCCAGCCGCTCTTGGGGCTCTTGACATCCCCAGCTCTTAGGTGGTACAGGGATGGTTTATTAATTCTGTCTGTCACCCTCTGTTGGCGATAAACTAGAGGGCTAGCTCGATTTCATTCTTCTCTCCATTCCTTGCCTTGTAAACTTTCTACATGATAGTAATATAGATGTGTGCCTGTGAGAAATAAACTACTGTTTTTGTGAGTAGCCTTGGTTTTATGAAGTGCTGTCTCTAGACAATAATATTGATGGGAACAAGATTTTTAAAAAGTGATATTGTCAAAGGCCAGACCTACAGAGTTGGGTAATTCAGCCACTGCTTTTAGGGTGTTGGAGATTATTTTTTTTATGATGGCAATTGTGTACACAACATTCCAATATACTATATCCTCTGAAGCTAGACAGTGGACAGGAAAGCTGTGTTCAACAGGAAAGACTAATGCTCAGTCCTCCCAGGGCACAGTGCAAAAATATCTTTCCCACTTCATCACCATAGAGTTTCAACCCCTAGACTTATATTCTTTAAGTTTCTGCCTCTCTTTTTCTTTTCTATTATATCATTTTATTTTGATCTTCTGGGAGGCAGGGTCTTTTCTTTTCAATATTTTGAAATTTCTTTTGCATACCAACCAGTTTCCCTTCCATCCTCTCCTCCTGTTCCCTCCCCACCTTCCCTCTACCCCTCCCCCATCCCATCTATTCTTCCTCTGTCTCCCATGGAGTAAGGCCTCCCATGCATATCAAGTTGAGGCAGGACCAAGCTCCTGCCCATGCATCAAGATGAATAAGGCCTCCCACCACAGGTTCCAAAGAGCCAGCTCATGCATTAAGGACAGGTCCTGGTCCCACTGCTAGAAGCCCCCCAAAAAGACCAAGCTACACAATTGTCACCCAGATGCAGAGGACCTAGGTAGGTCCTATGCTGGCTCCCTAGCTGTCCATCCAGAGTCTGTGAGTTCTCACAAGCTCAAGTGAGCTGTCTCTGTTTGTTTTCCCATCATGGTTTTGACCCCTACCCCTTGCTCATATAATCCCTCCTGAGATGTTCTGGGTAAACTGGGAGTGGGAGAGGGGAGGGAAAGGAGGATGGAACATGAGGGATCAGGATGATCAAGTTGGAAGCAGGATGGAAGGGAAGAGTAATGATAGAGATCTTGATAGAGGTGGCCAATGTGGGTTTAAGGAGAAACCTGGTGCCAGGGAAACCTCCAGGAACCCACAAGGATGACTTTGGCTAAGACTCCTAGCAGTAGTGGAGAGGATGCTGGACTGGCCTTCCCCTGTAATAAGATTGGTGACCACCCTAATTGGCATCATAGAGCCTCCATCCAGTACCTGATAGAAGCAGATACAGAGATCCACAGCCAAGGTTCTGCTTCTTTTTAACTTCAGTCTACAAAACTGTACTCCAGCAACTGCCCTAGCAATAGTTGCCTTAATGGCACACACTTTTCCAAAAATCAAATTGACCACCAAAATATTCATGGCAGAGTCACACACAAAAAAGATCAGGGTCCACAGTGGGCATATTTAATTCCCTTTTAAAAATGGCCACTGCTGAAAACAAAAATAGTCTTACTTAAACACCAGGAGATATTTGCTGTGTCTGAAAGCATTTATGCTCATCAGAAAATAAGGTTTCATCTTTCATTCACTTCCTCCAGTGGACTTGATAGACAGCTCCTTGATTCAGCAAGTTCTATTGCATGGACGATTTGGGGAGAGCACGGAGATCTCCCTTTCTATACATCAGCTTTTTCAGGAGCTCCAGGAGCTGTTTCAGAGAACTGGGATGGGAAAAACAGCTCAAGTGCATCCAAGAGCTCCCGAACTCACTCTGAGCCTCCTCATGGCCATATATGACAGGTGAGGAGGTGGGGGTTGCCAAAAGGTCTCCGGCCACTGGCCAATTGGTTCTGTCTAATTTCACTTGAGATCAGATGTGTTAGATGTTTTCTTGCTGGCTTGATTACTTGTCACTAACTGACTCATTATTCACTCAATCGTGAAAAAAGAAGTCTTCCTAAGTGTCAGTCACACAAATGACTCATAGATAGCTAGAAGAAGGGGATCTCTTCCTGCTCTACAAACACATTCCCATGCCAGAGCAGAGCCCCCGCCCTTTGCAAGGGTGACTGGATGGATGTGCATATACTATACTTGCTTCCTCACTCCCTGGTAGTGTATTTTTTGTTCATTTCTTTCTTTTCCTTTCTTGTTTATTTTCTTTGAAGTTTTGGCTTAGTTGGGTTTTTGACTGGGACAGAGCTGGGTGTCCAATGTGTAAACACCGAATAGTCTATATCCTCTCAGAAGGTAGGTCATGCTCTGACTTTGTGGGCTAATGTGTGTGTGTAGAGTATGTGGGCACATGTGTGTATACATGTGTGTATAGTGTGTTGGCACATGTGTGTGTAGAGTGTGTGAGCACATGTGTGTTTAGGGTATGTGGACACATGTGTGTTTAGAGTATGTGGGCACATGTGTGTGCAGGGTGTGTGGGCACATATGTGTGTAGCGTATATGGGCACATGTGTGCGTATAGTGTGTGGGCACATGTGTGTGCATATAATGTATAGGTGTGTGTGTGTGTGTAGTGTGTGAGCACATGAGTGTGTGTATAGTGTGTACTTTGCTAAGGTGGGGATGTTTTTCTCCCCTTTCTCGGTTGCTTTGAGGAGAAGGAGGAAGAGGAGGAAGAGACAATGAGATGACATTGACATGCCTCTGCGAGGCAAGCACAACGGAAATCATTTGTTAATTCCTTATAGCTGTTTCTTTCTTAATTTCCAACCTCACAAGTATTAGATAAATGTGTTCTTGACTTATCTTGTCATGATTTCAGTGTCTTTAAACTTTCAGCCTTTGAGTGTATTTTCAATTGTGTGCTTGTCTATAAAAGCCCTCCTACCTTTGATAAGTCATCTGTCCAGGATTGAAAGCTAGACAGCTAATGTGCAGACTACAGTCAGAATCTAGACTAGAGCCCATGAGTATTTTTGGAGAGGGCAATGCTATTTATTTATTTATTCATTCATTCATTTGAGGCAGGGCTTTTTGTGTAGCCCCGGCTGTCCTGGAACTCACTCTGTTGACCAGGCTGGCCTCAAACTCACAGAGATCTTCCAGCCTCTGCCCCCAGCCAATGAGTGCTGGGATTAAAGGCATGCACCACCACTACAGGGCTATGCCTTTTATTTTTGTCCTCATCTTTGCAGGCAAATGAATCTCAGAGAATAAGGTTGTTCCACTCCACATCTGCACTCCCAGTCCCTGGCAACAGTGTTTATCACAGAAAAGCATCCAGTAAATAGTTACAGAATGAACTGATGTATAAATGAATGAATAGGAAAAACATTTTCACTCATGCCCTGTTTTGCCAAGTTCCAAATATATAAAGAGACCATGAGAAGCTATCAGCATGGTATCAATTTATGAAATATCCATTGGTGGCCTGGATTGGAAGGCCTTCAAGGAACTAGCAAACAGTGACAAACATCCAATAATCACTTCATCTAAATAACACTGCCATCTCCTCACTTGTCTATGATTTATGACTCCACAGCACAGGATCAGGTATTCTCAAGCTTCGGCCTGTGGCTGCTGCTCTGTTTGCCCTCTCAGGGGACAGCCCTCTTACAAAGTACAGAGGTAACGTTGCAGAAGTTAAGTGTGTTCTGAAGTGTGGTGACTCCCCAGCCCCAAGTGTGTCATCCTCTCTATTGGCTTCTGAATCATAATGACTTCCTCTTCAGCATGCACTCGCCATGGCTGGCTGCGTTTGGTTTTATGTTGGTTTTTGAGCTTTTAATTTCATTTTAAGGGTATTTTTGCCTGCATGTGTGCCTGTGTACCTCTGCAGTGCCTGCAGTGGCCAGCAAAGGAAAGTCAGATCCCCTGGAACCGGAGTTACAGATGGTTGCCGGTCTTCTTGTGGATACTGAGAACCAAACCCAGGTCCTCTGGAAAAGCTCTTAACTGCTGGGCCATCTCACTAGCCCTCATCTTGTTTATATTTAAGAAAAATTCTTACAGTTGTGAGGGTCCCAGGATTTTTAAAAGTCTATGCTCTCCTGTTTTGCACTGCTTGGCTGCCCTTGACATTTATGCTTTCAGAGATTATCCAGAAATCACTAATTAATTGGGATCCTCACCTTACCATTCATTCACCAACCTCCACCACTGAGGTCTAGAATTACGGGAGGTAAGGTAATGGGTTATTAGTTATTGATGGATTACACTTGAAGGCCTTCATAGTAACAAGACAACAACAAGAATATTACTCCACAATTCTCCAATAGTCACAAAGAAACTTGCCTCACAGCATGTATTACTCTTCAATGACACAAGGACTTAACTAAAGATTTTTAATCTCCCTTTCATGTCTAGCTTTTTTTCAGCTCTATTTGGAAAACAACAGGAGAGGTAATGACTCCCGAGCCCGCATGACTCGGAAGGGTTTGAGAGCCTTACTAACAGATCTACAGCAGGTAAATCTCAATGGGTGTCAGTCATACCAACCTCTTGTTGTTTCCACAGTTAATTCATCTTTATGTAGCAAGGCTAACCTGTCCCTGTTTCTTCCTCTGCACTGAACTGGTGAACTTCCCAAAATACATCACCCTGTGTGAGCCACCTTTTTCTTACAGAATGCCTGAAATGGTCGACTTAAGAGGTAGAAATTTTATCTGGGCTTGCTGCCTTGGAAATTTCAGCCTGTGGTCAGTTGTCCCTGCTGCTTTGGGGATGTAGCAAGTTGAAACATCATGATGGAAGCATGGGCAAGAGGGCTACTCATCTCATGTTGGGCAAGAGAAAGGAGGAGTCTAGAATCACATAATATCCTGCAAGGGCTTATCACTGTAAGACCCCCACTTTTTTCCTCCTCTTCCTCTCCTCCTCCTCCTATTCTTTTTCTTTTGGTTTTTCCGAACAGTGTTTCTTTGTAGCTTTGGAAGCTGTCCTGGAACTTTCTCTGAGGCTGACCTAGAACTCACAGAGATCCACCTGACTTTGCCTCTCGAGTGCTGGGATTAAAGGCATGCACCACTCATGGCCGGCTCATAAGCCATACTTCTTAACATTTCATCTATTTCCTGATGCCATGAAGCTACAGCTGTGATACATGATCTTTGGGGGATATTTAAGGTCCAGTCTTATATTCTTAATCTCAAAGTTCTCCATTGTCTGCTCCCATCTACAGCATGGGGCCGACATTCTATATTGTAACCATGTACAGGATGTCTCAGCTCTCCTTAACTCTTGAGAAGGCATCTTTTTGCACAGATAGTTGTTGAGTCTGTTTTATACTTTCTAGCTCTACCCATGCCCTTTATCCCAAGCAAAGTGATGACTTAAAGTTCTTAATGTTTCTATCAGCACAATTTTATTTAAAATAATGGGTTTCATCGTGACATATACATAATTTTTTCAATCATATTCTCATACATATACAATTTCCCTCCCTTGTTCCCTTCCAACTCCAGCCAATCCCCTTCCTCTTCCAAACCAGTTTCCTTCAGCTTTCGTGTCTTTCTCTGTGTGTGATCCAATGAGTTTCTTTAAGGTTATTTACAGGCACATGTGAGAGTTTAATTGTAAGAGTTTGGGTGTCCTTAGCAATGGCTACACCACTAAAGAAAATGTCTCTCCTTACTCCACCAATCATTAACTGTGTATACATCCTCAGAGAAGAATGGGCCCATGACAGGATACTGACAGAGCCAATCTTGTGTAGGTTTTTGTGTAGTTGACCATAGCTGCTCTGAGTTTGAGAGGGCTGCAGCCATGCCCTGCCCTGAAATCAGCATCCCACACATCTCTGCCCATTGCCTCCAGCTCTTGGATTCTTTTGTGATGCTCCCTGAACCTTGAGGAGAAGGTAATAAAGATGTTTCATTTATGGCTGGGTACTCAACAGCCATTTATTTTCTGCACTTTGGCCAATTATGGGTCTCTGCAGTCACTGCTGACTATTGCAAAAAGAAGCTTGTCTGACCAGAGTTGACAGCAGATTTTAAATTTTTCAATAAGGTTAAAATGTTGCTGGCAGTGAAGGTTAGGGGGGTCTCAGGAGTGATAGAGAGGCATAGAAGTTGTCACTCATAGAGATAGGATTGAGCTATGAGACAAAGGAATTAGGAAACAGTTTTAATTGCAAAGCAATAGTGCACACTCCAGAAACAAGATGTGGATAGAGTCACATCTTACTGATAAGCCAAATAAATTGAAAATAATTCATAAACTAAGGTGGATAAAAAGGGGCAGTTTATAGGGTAAGTCTTGGTTTTCCAAGAATAGGGTCTATATTTTTCCTGTTCCTATATAGGGTATTCAGATATGTCATAACATCAGAAACATGATGGAAAATGTAATTATGTAAGGCTAATGATATAGAAATGCCATAATAAGCAAAGGGCAGTTAACAAACATCTTGAATGGCCCAAACTGGTTTCAGAAAGGTCCTATTTTTGTTTTTATTTTTTCTTTTGTTAAAAGAATCTATAGTTCATAATGCTTGCTGTTTTATGAGAGAGAGAGAGACAGAGAGAGAGAGAGAGAGAGAGAGAGAGAGAGAGAGAGAGAGAGAGAGAGATTGTTAGAAGGAAACAGGTTTATTCCAAGTCAGCTCTGAGGAATGCAGAGGAAATTATCTGCCTCAACTCCATCTAGTGAGGTTTTAGCATAGTTTTATGGGAGGAAAAGGGGGTGTCGGTGCTCTGGGCAGGGTCTTCATGGTCCAAAGGTGTTCTGTCTTCCCTCTTCTCTGCTGGGAACCATACAATGGATGGGGTTTTCTTGCAGTCAGTGAAGGAGCAACTCTAAAGACTTCTTTCAGCCAAAAGGATTATGAAGGAAGAGCACACTGGGTTTGTTTTGTGTCAACTTAACACAACTAGACTCACTAGAGAGAAGAGAACCTTAATTAAGGAAATGGCTCCATCGTGTGGGTGTGTCTATAAGGCACAGTCTTAATTAATGATTGATAGGAGAGTCCAACACTGCAGATGCAACCACACTTGGGCAGGAGGTCCTGGGTTCTATACAGTAGCAGGCTGGTCAAGTCATGGGAAAGAATCCAGTAGGTGGCTTTCCTCCTGCAAGACCCCCAAGAGACCCCAAGAGTTTGGAGTCTGTCAGGGGGGAAGGCCCTCGCCCCCAAAGAGACGAGACCAGACCACTGGATGCAAGTGCAAGAGGTTATTTATTGTTTACACAGGTACCTGTGGACGCTTCAGTCTTTGGGGGGGACTGAGCGTGCCGAGGTTAAAACTCAGGCAGTTTATATAGGGTTGGGGTGGCAAGAAGCAGGCTTACAGAAGCAGAAGCATGGTTACAGGGATTCCATTGTTTCATCTAAAAGTAGCAGTTGTAGTTAACCAAGGACAGTTGGTTATTCGGGTTGGGCACAAAGAATACAAAGAATTCAGTTATGACTCTCTCAGCATCCAGGATACCGTCCTGCTGGCCTTGATTTAGTCCAAGCTGCAGACCACAGATATCTGGTTGGCGTTGGATGAGAGCAACACCTGGTTCCCTCCTGTACTTTTCTTATAACTTGACCTTGGCAATTAATGAGAGCAGCTCAAATAGGCAATAAGCATAGTGGGGGATCTTTCACTCCACGCTTCCCTACTCAGGTTCTGCTAGTTAGTGCCCTGACTTCCCTCAGCAATAGACTGTGATCAGAGATCTATAAGCCAAACAAACCTTTCCTCCACAAGTTGCTTTTGAACATGGTGTTTATCACAGCATCAGCAAACTCATCCAGAGAGCAGGGGCCAATTTTTGTGATGGCCTGGTTTAATGCAGCTCTGCCCAGTTATCAGTTGCAAGCTCTTCCTCTATGCTGCACAGCCAGATTCAAGAATGCCAGATATAGGTATAAACACTTCATTGCTGTTCTGGTGGTTTTGACAGCACATAGATCTACTGCAGCCTTTCTGCTGTCTGAGGCATGTCTCAGGCAAACACCATTACAGATGCTCCTCCATGACAACTACATGTCTCAGAACTGAAGCAGGTAGAAAGCTGGGGGAGGCATAGGCTGCTCAACTATGTATTCTACCAGACTGATAACAGTAGCCAATTTCAAAGTGGATGTGATAAAAAGGGTCTGGTAGAGTGGCCTTTTCCCTCTGCTCTAGAATTCCTTGTGTTCACTTCCTATTACTGATGGCTCCAAGTTAACACCAGTCTCAGTGGATTTTAAAAATCCACTCATTTCAAACTCAATCAAGGTCAGTGTGGGCTGAAATGCTGGCTCCTACTACCTCTTCTTTCTCTACTTGTATCAGCAAGCGTTTGAGAAGGCTATGGGGAAGAAGAAGATCTGCGATTGCATAGCAAATTATCATCCCGTTGACTTCCATTACGGAATTGAAGATGGATTCCTCCCATAGAAAATTCCAGTCCTCACTATGTGATTCAAATCATCCCCTAGGAATGCTAATTATCATTTCAAGTGCCATTGTGTCCATGCCAGCATGCCACCTAGTCACACTTCATTCTTCTCGATAGAACACCTGCAATAAATTAGCCAAATAGGCAATTAACTCAAAAAAAAAATTTATGTAGACATTTAGAAGGAAAGCATCAGGTTAAAGGCCACTACAGTGGGCACTTTCTTTTTACTAGTATCAGAACCCAGAGCTGGTGATCCCAGGTCTTCTCCCAGCATATTTCACATGTGAACTGAGACCTCTGCCTTCATTAGGGGTAAGCACACCAGAGGAAGAAGCATGTTAAATCAGCAATCTCTTAATAAGTGGCCCAGGTAGGTCATCAATGTTCAGAAGTCCAGAGATGGGAAATGATTTGTTGGTTTGTTGTTGCTGACTAAGTAACTTAGGGAGTAGTTACTTATATTCTGTTGGTGACAGGGTTATTATTTAACGCACATACCATCTTGTTAATAGTATGAAAATGTTTGTTGACTTCTGTCTGGCTAATTGTGAGCAAAGAGGTTCTAAGTGCCACTTTCCTGATTAGGATGATGTTTATTTGAGTTGATGGACTCAGCAGGGGGTCGTTGCAATTACAGCCAGTGTCTGACAGCCTGTGCTGAGCAAGGCATCAGATGTGAAACTGGGACTCCTGTCCGAATGGAAATAAGTGAAGGTGACTGACTGGAAACCAGAGTCAAATCCATCACCATCCATCACAAGAGTTTTCAGTCCCTTAGTTGCCCCACCCCACCTCCAGAAGTAAATGTGGTTGAATGACAGAATGCAAGGACAATTGAGCCATTGGAAAAAAAATAAATAAAAGCTAATAAGCTTTGTCCCTTCAGTGAAGAGACAATACTTACAGAGTGAGACCCCAACCATGCAACAAACTTGATTTTTTATCTTGAACAAATTGTCATCATCTCTCAGTAATCCCTTGATCTATTTAATTTTAAAAACATTTAATTAACAAAAATTATATATGAAGTGTGGTGTGGTGTATACATGCCTATAGTTACAGTTATTCTGGAGGTGAGGTGGTAGGACTGTTTGAACTCAGGAATTTGAGACCAACCTTTTAAGATCCTATTTCAAAAGAAGAAATAAAGAAAGGAATAAAAAAGAAAAGGAAAGAAGAGGAGGGAGGGATGTTACATTATAGTGTATCACAAGTAACACAGGTGTACACTGTGTAAGGATTGCCACAGTCAAGTAACTTGCATACCTGTCATACCCATGGTCACTATTGGTGTGTGAGTATAGATGAGAGAACCCAAAACCTGATCTCATATCAAATGTCAAGTGAAAAAGATGATGTCATTAACAAGTCACTGTGTTGAGTGTTAGATCCCCAGAACCTAATCATCATAAATTGTAAAGTTATACTCTTTGAGCAACCTCTCCCTAATTTCTCCACTCTGCCCCCAACTCCAAAAACTCATATTCTACTCTCTGTTTCTATTAATCTCTTTTGGATTCCCTGTATAAGAGAGATTATGCAGTATTTCTGTGTATGGCTAATTTCAGTTTTACTTAGCACATATTTTCCAGGCTCATCCATGCTATAGCAAATGACAGAACTTCCTATTTTTAAATGCTGGATAGCATTCATTAATGTCAACAAACACCTAGATTGGTCGTATATCTTGGCTGTCCTAAATAAGGCTGCAGTGAATGTGTAGATGTCTCTTCTAGACATAATGACTTCACTTCTTGTCAGTCTCTCCTTTCAATAATGATGACTACCACCCCACTTTGAAGACTGGAGTTATAGTTTGCAAATGAATTGTCCCCCCCAAAAAAAACTTTGGAACCCAACTGGTAGATCCAATCACTGAGAAGTGGCTGGATCATGGGGGCTCTGATATAACTGACAGCTTAGACAGACTTTGAATGGATTGCTTGGTAGAAACTTTCATGTTTATGACCTAGTTAAAGGAGCTAGGTCAACAGAGATCTGTCCCATTGGCTTCTTGTCCCTATGCTCCTTGTTCACCATGAGGTGACCAACAGGTATGCCCTGTTACAGCCTTCTGTCTTGATGTTCTACCTCACCACAGCCCAGAATTCATGGACTAAAACTACAAGACAACCTCAATCTCTCCTCTTTGACATTTTTTAAGTCAAATATTTTCACATAGAAGCAAAACAAGCAATGGAATTGGCATGCATTCAAATGAGATGATGTGAAAATACTTGACAAGATGTTTCTTAAAGCCGCCATGAACTTGAAAGCAGTGGCACTGTGACCTTCATCAGGGAACAGAGAAAAGAAAGATTAAAATAATCTGCCTTGGATCCTGAGAAGTCAGACAGCAGGCATTTTCCCCTTTGCTGCCTCAGTGGCTTCCTTCTGTGGTCTTCCTCCAGTCTTTTTTATTCCTTGTTCCAACTCAAGCTCTACACAAAACCCGAAGCTTACTGTTTTGATTGAGATGGTCCGTTTCTTCTCGGAAGTCTGGTATTTGTTGCTTGCATTGTTGTGATTTAGAAAAAGCAGTACGTGCAAGACAAAGTTGCCATGCAACAGAATTCAAGCAGAGTTTTTTTTTTTTTTTTTTTTTTTTTTTTTTGTTAGGAAAAGGGATCATAAAAGGGGGAATTGGGAGACAGGAGTCCGAGAGAGAGAGAGAGAGAGAGAGAGAGAGAGAGAGAGAGGGAGGGAGGGAGGGAGGGAGAGGGAGAGAGAGAGCACAGAATAGATAGGGAGAGAGAAAGGAAGAGAACATAGGGAATGTGCACAAGTGGTGTTCTTAGTGGCTGCAGCTGAGGGTGTATCCTGTCAGAACCCCAAGGACAGGCCAGTACAGATACCTGAACACTAACATGCATGACCTCCATTACTCAGGCACACTAAGTCCATTCAATAGCTAACATGAGGCTGCCTTTGCAGATTCTGACTGTCATGGGAGAGAGCTGCACTTTGTGTTCCGTGGAAAGTGCTATCCACAGCTGTTTCCGAGGGGTGAGTAGCATAAAAAACATTCCTGGGAACTGGTACAGATGTTTGAAGAGTTTGCTTAAATTAGGCTTCATGCATGTTCCAGGACAACCTGAGTTTAGAAGTAGTCTTTCCTCCAGCTTTCACACGAACAGACAGAGCCAAAGGGAATGAGAGGCCTGAAAGCTGTGTCTCATCCTGCTTGTCTTTCCCAGGTGCTGAGCTCTGGAATCAAGGAGGAAAAATTCTTGTCCTGGGTACAGTCTGAGCCTCTGATCCTTCTATGGCTCCCAGCCTGCTACCAACTGTCTGCCTCAGAAATGCTTGCTCACCCCGTGCGGTGCAGCATATGCAGAACCTTCCCAATCATAGGACTGAGGTATAGTCAACATCATCCCCAATCGGTCATTTGACAGATGGGCTCAAGGGTGGAGCTACATAGATAACCCTAGACCTCTCTCTGGGATCCTTCTTATGCATCTGGAGTTCACAGGCCTTTAGCCCAATAATTTCCTGTCTGAGGCACCCTGGTTGAAAATAAATTTATTTCCTATAATTGATGAACTATTAACTTCTTCCTCTGACTCACACTCTGAAGTAGCCCATGTTTTTGTTCATCTAAGGCAATCATGACCTCTTGTGGGGGAGGGCGAGTCAAACAACCCTTTTACAAGGGTCACATAGCAGGTATCCTGCATATCAGAGATTTATATTACGAGTCATGAAAGTAGCAAAACTGCAGTTATGAAGTATCATCAAAATAATTTTATGGTTGGAGTCACCACAACATGAGGAACTGTATTAAAGGGTAGCAACATTAGGAAGGTTGAGAGTCCTGCTCTAAAGTATAAAACAGTTGTCTTTTGCTCCAAATGAGCCTATTAAACACTTTGGAACTACCCCCAAGAATAGTTTGTTAAGTCACCAGATAATGGTGATACAGCCTTTGATTCCAGCACTTGGGAGACAGAGGCAGGGGGAATCTCTGTGAGTTTGAGGCCAGCCTGGTCTGCAAGTTCTAGGACAATCAAAGCCACACAGAAAAATCCTGTCTTAAAAAAAACAAGAAAGAAAGAAAGAAAGAAAGAAGGAAGGAAGGAAGGAAGGAAGGAAGGGAGGGAGGGAGGGAGGGAGGAGGGAGGGGGAGAGGGAGGGAGGAAGATTAGGATGTAGGTTTCCCATAAATTAAATTAGAAGGTAAAAGCAGAGATACTGTTCAGAGTTTTGAAGAGAAGGAAATGAGAAGTCTGACCAAGGATGGGCAAGCCATGTATCATGACCTATGGGCACAGATATGAGGCTGTGTGAGAGTTGAAACTCCAAGACATTCATTCAGTAGCTAACAACAAGGCATGGGGGGGGGGCCGGGGGGAGCCTGGAAGGGGAGGAGGTTGGAGCCCTTGGGGCTTCACACTTTGTCCCACTTCTCTTCTTGTAGCTCCTGACCCTCACTAATTCAGACATTAAATACATTTTCCACAGTCCTAAAACAGGTCTACTGGACCCGCTAAAAATCTGGAGGTCAAGCTTAGATTTGTTGAGAAACTGAATTGATTTTCCAGGGTATTTTGAAAGAACATCAAAATTTGAGTCATAAAAGCCTCTGTACAGCTAGACATTAGTGGCGCACACCTTTAATCCTAGCACTGGGGAGGCAGAAGCAGGTGAATCTCTGTGAGTTCGAGGCCAGCCTGGTCTACAGAGCTAGTTCCAGGACAGGCTCCAAAGTTACAGAGAAACCCTGTCTGGAAAAAACAAAACAAAACAACAACAAAATTTCTGTGAAAATAACAACTTGAATAATAAAACATGTCAATGGGAAAAAATAAGCAGGCCAAGGAAATCTTCAAATTATAGTGAAAGCGGTATTTTCTTATGATGTACAGTGAAAGAACATGAATATAATTATCACTATAATTTATCATGAATATAACTTAACACACTGTGTGTGTATACATACATACATACATACATACATACATACATACATACATACATACATAATTTAACCAATAAACCACAGAAAGGCATTCCTCATATGACTTCTGTATGTCTAAGCCAGAAACAGAATGACTTTGAAAGCACACAAAGTACAACTTTTACATTGAAATAAATTGTTATTTCCTCGAAATCATTATTTTATAGCATTGAGTATCAAAGATTTTAAGTGACTTGCTCAGGCTACCCAAGAAACAGCAGCGTCAGACTTTTGTATGATATGCTGTTGTCTGTTTAAAATGAAGTCAAACTTCTTAGAAACATGGTTGGGTGGACTATTTTTCCTCCCAGACAACAAAAGCAAAGCAAGCTAAGGGGGAATGCTCTAGAGATGTCTGTGGCTTCCTTTAATGATGCCTCTTAAAACTTGTATGGATATATTATAGCCTTAGCCTTACACTTGTGGGTTTGGCTCTCAAAGCTCAAGCCAGTGCTTTAGTTTCAGGGAGACTGGTAGAACAGCCAGAGAGCAGAAGCAGCCACAGAGCTCAGAAGACACAGGAAGAATGCAAGGCTCGACTTCTTATGGGAAGAAAAGGGGCTGGGAGACGGCTTGGTTCGTAAACGTTTACTTACAGTGTAAGTGTGAGGATCCAAGTTCCATTCCTCAGAACCAGTGGATGAAACAGTACTGGAAACAGAGACAGGAGGATTCCTGGGGCTTGGTGGCCAGCCAGTTTAGAGAAAAGAGTCTGAGCCAGACTCAGTGAGAGACCTTATCTTACAAAGATGGGGAGCTGCTGAGGAAGACATCCAGCGTCTAGCCTCCATGCACACGAGTGCACCTGCATGCACACGGGGAGAAGGGGGCCCAAAGAGAAGAAATTGTCCCTACCCCAAGAATTAAGTCATAGATGGGTTATCATATATATCCTATGAAAGAAATAAATCATATAAGACTGAGATGACATTGGAAATATGTCTTGGGCTCTCTGTTTGGTAAGATTATTAACAAACCAGTGTGCTATCCACTCAGCAGCCTTTCTTGTGGCCTCAGAACACAGAGGAATACACTTAAGGGTAGTTAGCATATTGTTCAGACAGGTCAACTGTAGTCTAGAAGACTGGACAAAGCTGCCAGATGGGCAGCTCATCCAATAATCCCCTTTAAAGACAAGGCTTTTCCATCTTGTACACTGTATTGGAAGGACGAGTGCCTTCCCACTTAGATGCATTGATTAATTTTCAAAACTATGCAAAATTTTGCAAGGCCAAGAAGGCAGTATTTATTAGTTCCATTGTCCTTCTGCAAAACCTGGTCTGTTCGTTTCACTTCATTCAGTTCACGTTCACTGACTACCTACTATGGGCCAAACAGTGAGAGCTTGCCTTTCCAGTGCAATGGCTGTCACTGATACAGCTAGAAATGATGACATTGTTATTAACCAGGGGCTGCCCCATCTTGCTGGCCCTTCAGCATCATAGTATTCCCTGAGTGTCAGGAGAGATCTCTCCCTAACAGCGTACCTCAGTGTTCTCTTCTGAACATCAGGAGCTTTAAGATCCAGAAATGAGGAAGAAACTTCTGCCATGTTACTGTGTCAGGAAACAGGTGAATGTTCGGGAAGCTCAGGGCCTCTGAGAAACCTCCTCTCTCCATCTTCTCTTCCCTATGCACAGTCTTCTTAAAAAAAAAAAAAAAAAAAAAAAAAAAAAAAGGCCTGGGCTTGTTTTGAAATCCTTTATCCAAGATTATCAAACCTTGTAATTTTCTAAGAGAATCCCTAATTCAACTCTATCAAAAAATGCCAAACTTCTTGTTTAAAATTTAAAAGTACACTCTAAATATTTGAGTACTTCCTGCAGCTACACAAGATATCACTTCAGACTTGCAGTCCCTAGATACTGCCTATGCAAGGCACATGGTATTTGGGTAGTGTGGGGAAAGGGTGTAAATCAGATGTCTAGAGCATAGTTTATTGGATAAAAACACATTAATATAATGTCTTATTAAAGCCCAATCAAGGGCAGGTGAGATGACGCTGCTACGTAATATCTCTATGACTTAAGGCCTCTAAGCATAACCACTTGAGTTTATTCCTCAGAACTCATGTGGAAGGAGAGAATCAATTTCCAAAAGTTATCCCCTGACCTCCACACATTTGCCATGGCCCATGCACACACACACACACACACACACACACACACACACACACACACACACACAAAATACTACTAAGACAAAGTTCATGTTTCTTTGAATAAGTAAGCACACAGGTTTTTTTTTTTTAAATAACTGTCAGGGTTGAGAGACAAGTTGCAACCACTGCCAAGTCAGTCAGATACTTCCTGTATGTGTGAGGATGCTCACTCTCCCCTTGAATTTCTCTTGTTTGCTCTCCTACGGGTGTGACATAAGCTGTACTTCCATTCCTTTGGCAGATACCGCTGTCTGAAGTGTCTCAACTTTGACATCTGCCAGCTGTGTTTCTTGTCTGGTCTCCACAGCAAATCCCACCAGAAGTCACATGCTATGATGGAGGATTGTGTCCAGGTAACATCTAAGGCAGTGTGGCAAAATCTTCCCTACCCCAGTCCTTAGAAGACATAGCATCAAAAACCTTTTCCTTCCACCTGTTAACAGTTAGGACTGGAAAAGGCGGGCTCAACCTTCCACGTTTCTCTGTATAACTGAGCTCTCCTATGATGGAAGAGTAGCATATACTATAGGAAAATGTCCTAATGACTTTCATTGGTTTTTATGATTGACACATGCCAGGAGTTTAAAAAAATAAATGGACTTTGTTTACATGACAGGCTTTTATAAATGCCTTTGGGAAGAAGGAAAGGCTTAATAGGATACAGCTGGATCATTGGTCTCTCACTCACACTATGCACTAGGAAGCACCTGTCAAAGTTAGAGGGGACAGGTATTGAAGAATGGACGAGAACAAAGGGGGTGTTGATTTGGCGAAAACGATGCAAAAAAAAAAAAAGCTTCTAATTGTTGTATACAATTGGAAAGGTTTTACTATGATCTTCCCTGAGACCTAAGTACCACCCCCACTTTGGAATTAAAAAAAGAAAAAAAAAAATCTAGGTTTTCACTGGAAAAGTAAACTTTATAATTTGTGATTCTTTTAAAGAAATGTATTAGTAACCAACAAGTTCATTTAGTTCTAAGAAGAAAGAAAATAGGAAGCATAAGCTATTCCTAGGGGTGAATGGGAATTAGGGTGACTGGGAGTGGGAAATTGTCTTTAACTACCAATTTCAGGTGAATCTATACAATGGAGCTCCTCAAACACCAGTGTAGTGAAGGCTGCATGCAGATGGATTGCTTTCACCAGTGTAGTCTTCTGGTTCTCTCTTCGACATCAAGACCGCTCCAGGAAGGGCAGGCACCTAAATTTACCTAATACCTTGCTAAATTGCACCAACTGTGTGCTGGTTCTGGTTCCTTACCTCTCTGGTCTACCTCTCCGACCCTGGAAGCTTGCGACTTCATGGTATTACAGTGACACCGTGTGGTCATCTTGTTAATACACGTTAATTTTCAAGAGCTGGACAGCTTCAAATTGAACATCTTTGTTTCTTTTTCCTGAAATTCCTTGGGTGGATCAGATGGATGGGTTTCAGGTGACCCATTACCTAATGAAATTGACACAGTAGTAAAACCTGGGAGGGATGTTCCGGGCAATTAATCCACAACGTATCACCTTGTTCTTAAAGGAACCCACATCCACAAATGTGAGCAACCATAAACTTAGTGCACGGTGGTTCCTTCCTACAGCTTTAGAATCCCCAGTCTCTTTAAGGAGCAGTTTGTGGTATTCAACCTTGAGACTTGTGCCATACGCAGGTTTATACATAAATGGTATGAAGAAACACTAGGAGCAAGGAAGATTATTTTTCCAGTGCATCAGCAACAAAAGGAAAGGAATGAAGGCCATGTTTCAATTGACTGGTGCACATTGAGATTTTTTAATGGACTTGATTTCATGGCTTTATTCATTTGTGTGTAGGCATGTATGTGTGAAATGGCCAACATGTGGAAGCCAGAGGCCAGAGTGTGGGTCCGAAGCACCAAACTTGGTCAGCTCAGAAACAAGTGCCCGTCCCCACTGAGCCATCTTGTCTGCCCCTTGGTGCCTCTTTTAATGTTGTTCATTTCCACAGATGTCATCAAAGGAGAACACAAAGCTCTTCTTCAGGAACCTCAGAAACAGCCTGCCCCAGAAAGGCGACAGGACAGGAGCCATGGGGAGACAGTGGCTGCTGGACCAGCTGGCTCCAAGGCACCCAGCTAGCCATGGGCAGGCCAGGTATGAGGCCAGGATGCTGGGTCCACAGCCAGCACGGATTATAGCTGCAGGTTTTCTCTCCCTTAAGAGATATAGACATAGATATGCATATGTTAATCATACAGAATAATGGATTTTGATAGCATCCTCATACATTATATATTTTGAACATATTCTCCCGTTGCCTTCCCTTGTTCCCTCCCCACTCCTGCTGACCCCTTCCTCTTCCCGAGTCTGCCTTCTACCTTCATGTCTTCCTCCTTTCACATCTGCCTTTCTTTTCTTCTTTCTTTCTCTTCACCATGTAACCCTCAGAAATTTTTAAACTGAATATAGATCTTCAGGGAGGCATGAGGCCTCAAGAGCCCGTCTTCCCCCAGTGATGAGATACTGGTGGGACCAATCTTGAGCGGGTCCTGGGCAGGTAATCACGAGTGACAAGGTGCAACCGAGCGGGCTGTGAAACCCAGAAGACCTGTTCCACATGCTCCATCCCCATCTCTTGGTTTTCCTTCCATTCCGCTTCCCCGGGGCCTTGGGGACCGAGATGCAGAGGACCCATTTAGAGCTGAGAAGTCAATAGCTGCTTATTTTCAGAGCATTCACAAGGCCCTGCAAGGGTTGGGTAGAGGGAAGAGGGTAGAGATTCAAACGCACTTCACCTCTCTGTAAACAGCCTTTAGCTTTATGGGAAACTAAAAGACAACAGCGCCACACAGTGGCCATCGAGTTAGTTGCTCTTGCCACTAAAGGCACAGGAAGCTTAGCTGATTCCATTTGAATAACACTGTTCCCACTTCACTGTGGGTGAAAACTAGGCTTGGCTGTAGATGAAATCTCTCATTCTTATATTCACCTGCACTAAATGGTAAAGGTGCCCCCTATCATTATCCTCCAAATAACCGTTACTCTTTTTTTTGTTTTGTTGTCTTGTTTTGCTTTTTGAAACCCTGTCTTGATAGGTATCCCATGCTGGCTTTGAACTCATTGTGTAGCCCAGGCTAGCCTCTTAACTAACCACCCACTTTCTTTTACCTGTTGAAAGCTGAAATTACAGGTGTATACCTCCACTCCCGATGTAAACTATAATTTTATGTCTATACATACATACTCATATGTGTGTGTGCATGTTCATGTGTGTGCAGATGGATGCGTGTGTGTTTTGAGGTACATTCACACATGTCAACGCAGGGGGCAGAAGAAAAGCTCAAAGTGTTATTCTCCAGACACTGCCTACCAGTTTTCTTTCCAAAAAAAAAATGTATTTATTTGTATGTGTATGGGTGTTTTGTTTACATATATGTCTGTGCACTTCGTTAGCACCTAGTACCCATGCAGTCTAGAAGAGGACATTGGGTCCCTTGAAACTGGAGCTGGTGATGTTTGTGAGCTACCAGATGGGTGCTGAGAATTAAACCCTGTTCCTCTGCTCTCATTGCTTAAGGAACCCCATGTCTCCAGTCCCTCCCCTCCCCCTTTGAAACAGCATCTCTCACTGGTCTGAAATTTGCCAAGTAAAGCACTGACTGGACAGGGAGCTCCAGATCAGTCTCTTTCTCGGTGCTGGGATTACAAATTCATGTCACCATGGTGGGCCATTTAGATGAGGGTTCTGGAATCCGGACAAAGATGCTCATGTTTACAGGGAAAGCGGCTTAGCATACTGAGCCTTTCTCCAACCCCACAAACCAGCATTGTTAAGAGTCAACTCTCATCCTTCTTGAGAACATTGCAATTCATAAGCAATTGTGAGCATGTTAGGGGTGGAGGCATAAGAAAAAACAAACAGGTGGTGAAGTCATATGAACTGGATCAGAGAAGCCTTGTCCTCAGCCAGCGGCACATGCTGCCTTTACTTATCCATGACTAACTTTCTTCACTTCATCACAGGGATAGCCTGTCCTTCATATGCTCAGCACAGTATTTGTGGGAATAAGACAAACACAGAGAGTTGAAAGGGCTGTACATCACTAAAGTTCATTTAAATTCCATATATCCAATCTACTCTGGGTATAATAAATATGGTTAATCCCCAAGGTAGCATTATGTAATTTTGAACTTGGTCTGGGTATTGAGTTCAGAAACTCTGACTGATGACCAACCTGAAAGAAATAAATGTGAATGTTTTAATTTCACAAATGTGATCATAGTCAAAGAGTCATCCTTGCTATCTATTAAGCTGGTAAATTAGGAACACCCATCTTCTTTTTTATTATTATTTATTTTATATAACCAAGTCCATTTAAATGAAAACAAACATTTATAGACAATATTTGGGAATTTGGGCGTTGTTCTTTCCAAACTACTTCCTGCTGGTAAGGGGCGCTGTCATGGGGGATTCAAAGAAGATTCAGAAATCCTGACTGGAGTCTGCAAGGCTGCTTTGTCCAGCTGTTTTGAATGTAGGATCATCTGGTACTCTGTTTCAGGTGGTCTGGCTTGATCAAACCACATTAGTCTGGAAGGAATCCACATCTTTTCATTTTCTGTGGAAACAAAAATAGAAATCCTTTTCCCCAGTAACTTGTCCTTGAACTTAAATTTTGGAGTCAAAGCATTATTTTTTAATTTAATTTATTATTTTGCATGTCGATCCCAGTTCCCTCTCCCTCCCTTTCTCCCTCCCTCCTGCCCTCCCTTTTACCCTCTCTGCCCTCTCACATGCACTCTAACCACCCTCCCCTCCCATCCCCCCACCCCAATTCCATATGTAGGGGAATGCCATCCAGTTGGAGTCATGTAGATCTGACAGGTCATGTGAAGTAGGGACTAGGGCTTCTCTCCTGTCTCTAGATTAAGGCAGTTATCCCTCCATGGGGGGGGATGTGTTCACAAAGTCCTTTTGTGCACCAGGGATACATCCTGGCTCCACTGTCTGAGGTCCCTTAGACTGCTCAGTCCTTCTGGCTGAGACCCATATTCAGGGGGGCCTGAGTCAGTCCCATGCTGGCTTCCCAGCTATCAGTCTGGGGACCATTAGCTCCTCCTTGTTCAGGTAAGCTGTCTCTATGTGTTTCTGCCGCCTGGTCTTGTCCTCCCCATCTGCATCTGGGTTCTAGTTTGACTCAGTGTTTATGTATGGGTGTTTGATCCTGTTTCCAACAGGCATTAGTTGAGGGCTCCATGGATAAGTTAGTTGTTGATCTCACTCTCCGGGAAGGGCATTTATGGTAGCCTTTCCACGGAAGCTCAAGTTGTTAGTTGGCAGCAGTCTTGTAGTTCTCTAGACCTTTCTTTGTGTTCAGTTTTATCTTCAAACCAATATTGGCTCCCTCTTTTATGTTCTCTCTCTCTCTCTCTCTCTTTCCTGTCTTCTATTCCTAACCAGGCTCAATCTTCCTGGTCGCACATGTTTTCCTTTCCTCCCCCTCATTTTCTCCTACTTCTTTCGCCATTCGCTGCCCCCCCCACTTCCCTGAGCTCTGGGCGACTTGTTCCTTCCCGGTTCTGTGAGGGACTTTATATGAATCTCTTAGAATACACCTTGTATCCTAGTTCCTCTGGTGGTGTGAATTATAGGCTAGTGATCCTTTGATCTAGGTCTAAAATCCATATATGAGTGAGTACATACTATGTTCCTCTTTTTGTGACTGGATTACCTCATTCAGGATGGTTTCTTCAAGTGCCATCCATTTTCCTGAGGAACCGCCATACTGATCTCCAAAATGGCTGTATGAGTTTGCACTCCTACCAGCAGTGGAGGAGTGAGGAACACCCATCTTCTAAGGCAATAGTTATTGCCACGTGGTAATACTGGGTTTATTTAATAATTCAACAAGCAATCTGCATGGTAAGAAGCCCCTTCCTTTTGCTGTAGATTTACTTTACACATGACTGTTCACATCAGCAAGAATTACACTTTTATTTATAAGGACATAATTGGAAGTGAGGTGTCAGACATCACCAGCATTATTAAAATTTGGGGGAAATTCTTGCAAATATAATAGAAAATAAAATTCAAACGTTGGAAAAGGGAAGATGAAATCACCTGCATCTGCAGCTGATACACTCTCCAAACAAACCCTGAGGAACTTAGAAGAAAACACTAGAATTAAGGCGTTTAGTAATGGTACAACATAAAATAAGTTAGCCTAAAATTGATAGCTCTTCACTCTTCTGGCAATAACCAACTAGAAATTCTATAAAACTCTCATTTATAATGTATCTTATTTTACAAAGAAACTACACCCAAGTATAACAAACTGTGAGACCCTTATAATAAAATTATGCTATGACATTAAGCACAGAAAACAAGACCTAAACAAAAGAGAAACATGCCGGATAGCTGAATGGGATGGCACTAACATAGGATTGTCCATGCAGCAAAGCTAATATACCATTCCTAATCATTCACAGATTCGGGGTTTACACATTCACCTGCTTGCAAAATCTTACACGTCATCCAAAATCAATTTTCAAGGTGCCACTGCATCACTTAGAGATATGTACAGAATGCCAAACGTAAAGGCTGCCCACACATGCATTTGCAAGCTGAGGTGCAGCTGCAGCTGAGTTTTGTCCCCTTACTTCAGCTTTCAAGCTGTAAACAAATGTCTTTCACACAGTCTATTCACAACCAGATTTTTCACGCTTTTGTGCCTTTTCTGAGTGGTCTCACTGTTGCAAAAAGCCCTCTAGTGTAGTGTTGAAGTACTTCCAGGGCTCCAGGAAAATTGTGATGTCTCTTCACGAGACTGTGTGTGAAATGAGCTTTATGAACAAAGACTTCGAGGTGATGAGGAAGTAACTCCTACCTGCATCTGATCTCAAACGTCCAACCTCTAGACATGAAAGAAACATGTAACATGAACGTAGTGTATGTATACATGTAGTGTATGATATTTTGTTATAGCAGTCAGAGGTAATCCAAAGTGTTAAAATTATCTCAGATGGGACAAGAATAGAGTGCATCAGTCAGAAACCATGTTGCTTTCTCTATCCCTACACACCCTCCACTTTGAGAGAATGGGCTAAGCACAGAACAATCACTTTATCACCGGCTGTCAAAAGCAACTGAAATTAATCTGCTTGTGAAATGTGAACTCTCTGTGAGCAAATACCTCTCTGCTCTTTTAAAATGTTTTCTTCTTTTGCTCAACTATAACAACTCAAGATGGTAAAAATGCTTCCAAAATAATTTTGAAGAAAACTAAATGGAATTCTGTAAAATCAAGTATGCCTGCCCTTTGAGTCATCTGTGCTCTTTCAGAGATGACATAATAAACACACACCCGTGCTTAGAATTCCTGGTCCCTGGTCTGGACAACATGACCTGGGAGTCATTATCACTGAATTTCTTTGTATTTTTAGATCTAAATTGGCATGGAGAAGGAAGCATGAACTTTATACTTTTAGCTATCTAGCTCTCTAGCAATCGTACAGCCTGTCTGGAAAAGGACACAGGGAATAAGTGGAGTGACGTTATTACTATTTGATGCGGAGACCCTGACCTTGACATCTGATTTGACATTTTCAGTCACAAAGGGGGTACAGCTAAAGACATGGCTCAGTAGTTAGGAGTGCTTTTTTGCTTTTACAGAAGAGCCAAGTTTTGTTCCCAGTACCTTTTGTTGGATGCTTCACAACTGCCTGTAACTTGAGCATCAGGGGCATCTAATGCCCTCTTCTGGGCTCTATGGGTACATACAAATGGCATATATGTGTGTCTGCACACGTGCACACACACATACACAAATAAAAACAAATCTTTTTAAAATACATTTTAAATAAAAAGCTTTCCTTAATGTCATACTTGATCATTAAAAATTGCCCCAGCATCTTAGAAAACTCTGCTTTCTAACAGGTTTTGCATTGAGTTTAAAGGCCCTAAAGTCCCAGTGTGTGCAAGGCCAACAGGAGCGGTGGCGGCAGCGGCCACAGAACGCCCCAGATACCCATGTCAAAGACTGTCACCTGCTCCACAAGCAGATGACAAACCACGTGACCAGGTGAGTCCCAAAGAGAGAAGCCGTCACTGCAACACAGTGTCCAGGCACTGAGTAAGCAGGTACCAAGGCTTTGAAAACCATCCCCCAGATCAAGAAATATTTTCATCTTGTCAATATGATCAATGAAAACTATAGGGAAATATTTTCAGTCATAAAGTGTTGCATGTTTTTGTTTGCCTCTTGAGACGTGGTCTCTCTTTGTATCCCAAGCAGGACTGGAAACTCAAATCAGTCCTCTGGCCTTTGCCTCCAGCATACTGAGATTATAAGTGTGAGCCACCACGCCCACTTAGGGATATGCAGTTATTGCATTAAATTTGGAGAAATAAGTAAAAAAAAATTAAAAATGAAAATAATCTATGTGTATGCATCATTAACATTTCAATATGCTTCACTCCTTTTGAATATTTTAGTTTAGATCATACTTTGAGATGTACTGATTATACTGTCAAATTGTCAATGTAAATTATATTGTGAACATTTTCCATTGTCAGAATCCTTCAAAAACATCTGCATAATTATTTAAATAGACAGAATGCTATTCATTTAACTCCTGTTTGACATTTAAGTTGTTTTCAATTTTTACTGTAATTTAAAATTTACTATTAAAATTTCCTTCCATTTTTCTTTTGTGTACAGTTACCCCATTATTTCCCTACAAAACACATCTAAAGTAGGATCACCAAAAAGGTCCATGGAAATATGTTTAAGGTTCTTCATGCTTATTGCAAAATTGCTTTTCAGAAAGGTATGCCAGATAAGACACCCCCTGTGAACCTGGCTACAGCTAAGATTAACTATTGCCCCATTTTAATTCTGCCGATTTACAATAAAGCAAAAATATAATTTCTCTTTTATTTATTTTTCTCAAATTTGGTGAGACAGAACTTTACCCACAAATACTTTTAGAAGGCAACTACATTTTGTCCCTTCTGGTGTGTCAATATATGTAAACGTTGAATCTTTCATCTTGGCAGAAGCAAGCCTTGTTCCCTTTAGTCTTTTGAACAGCATGACTTGGTTTATGGATGTTTCTAGTTCCTTTAAAAATGCTCTCAATTTTTTTCTTTGTAATTTCTTACCGTTTTTTTTTGACTTAGAAAAAGCTCTCCAGTGAGAAGTCAAATGATTCTTAATTGTATATATTTTAACATGCTTTATCTTGACATTATAATTTTAAATCTTTTTATTTTGACTTATGATAAGGGACAATAATTTCCGATTCTTGTTTATTTTGTTTCAATAAGCCCCTTCCATGTTGATGTCTACATCATGATTCTGCTAATCCACACTAGAATTTTCACCATTTTAGGATGTTTTACTGTTTCCCACTCAGCTTCCCATTTTGTTTTTATAAGAGAACATCATTTTATCATCTAGCTTTGTGATAACTATTTGTGCAATATATAGGAAGATTCCCCTTTCATCTTTCAACCACTTTATTGAAGTGTGACTAACAAATTAGAAATTATACATATTTAATGTGTACAAGTAATGAGTGAAGACAGGCATCTGTCCATGAAGCCATCACCACCATGCTGACCATGAAATGTCTATCATTTTCTAAAGTTTCCTCTCAGTGCTATTATTGGTTTTGTCTTTAGGGTTATTGTTTTTATTACTGTGGGAAGTAAAAGTGCTTAACGTTAAAGCAACACTCTGACTACTATAGGGTAGATATCTAGGAGATGTTTATTTTACATAAATACAACTCTATCCTGTGTACTATCACCTTCCCATTTCTCCCGCTTTGTCTTATTTTTTATGTTGTTATAAAATAATTATTCTTCTAAAAGAATATTTGAATAATTATAGTTAATGCAGCCTGATCTTCAGGGAGGCCATCAAAGGGCCATCGTTTATAAAGCTTTTAATAATCAAAGACAAAAATAAGTTTCCATGTGTAGCTGTGGTAAGAACGGTGCCTAGGCTCTAGGCCCTAGAAAATAAGTACCATGTCCACCAGTGCCAAACAGTTTGTGCAGCCTTCCAGCGAGCAGAGACACACACATGGTTGTGGCACCCTCAGATAACCCTGCCTCATCTTACTCTTGGCTTGTACTTTCTCTATCCAACCTTATGTGTGTAGTGCATTTCTGATTTATTTAGAATGTTTTTAGTAGTACAAGCAAGATGTGACTCTAAAGTTTAAAACACTGTGCTTAAAATGTGATCCTTTGCAGTCATAGGATCTAGTCTGCCCCTAGATCCCCAGTGGTAACTTGTGCGGGATAAACCTGTGCAGGCCTTTTCCTCTGCATTCGCCTGTGAGGAGGTGTGTATACATGTATGTGTAGGTGTAACACTACTGACAACCCAAGAACCTTGCACACCTGTACAAGAAAACTGCACAGTTGTGTTTACTACATCTAATTTGAAATAATTGAAAACAACCTTAAAAGCCAGTAAATTGGCTCAGTGGGTCAAGGCGCTTGCCATATAAGCCAGACAACCTGAGTTCCACACCAGGACACATGTAAAGGAGGAAAAGGAACTGACTCCGGGAAGTTGTCCTATGACCTCAACACAGCCCCCACAATAAATAAATAGAACAATTAATTAATAATGAAAGTTAAAAAATTTAGAAAAGTTTTATGTCCTTTAATGGAAATGACTCAATAAACTATGATGTCTAGCCTATGAATATCATTATATATCCACATGCATAAACCTAAAATGTTTCTCAATTACAGAAAAATATATATCATATGATAACATGAATTGAAAAAAAAAGTTTAGTCTTTTATGTAATAATGTCATTACTTCAAAGGCTATGTTTGAATATTTGGATGACCAAAGCAGGAGCTGTCACTCTGAAGCCACAGAGTGTTCTCCAACAGGAAACAGTGACTGTGTATCTGGCCCACTCTCCTCTTTCTGTGTTTCCTTGTCTTCTCCACGGTGTTCATCTGAACAGAAGAAAAGGCTTCAGAATAAAGTCATAGCTGCCTAGAAATGTAGAGTTGGCGAGTCTATGTTCTACCCAGATTTGGAATCATGGGCGGAGACTGTGTGCTCCAGAGCTTGAGCCAGGCTGGGTCAGGACAACAGAAGTCTTTGGGTGCCAGTTCGGGAAGCAGAGTGTGATGTGACAAAGTTCAGTGGGGAAAACCCACCGAAGAGTCAAGCCACCACGGTTCATTCAAAAGAGTTGGTGGATTCAAAGGGAGGTCTTGCCCGTCAGTGTACATCCACGTAGGAGACGAAGTAGAAGGTGAAGGAAGACGTGAGAAACTTCAGCCGATGGTAAAAATGTGACCCAACTGTGTTCTGTGAATGTCTTTGCAAGCAGCTGTTCAGAGAAGCAGCAAACATGGGCAGAAGGCTATTGTGGCTTGCCATTTATACTTTAGTATTAAATATATAGTATTAATATATTGTGTTAATATTAATATGTAATTAGTTCTGTAAATTGGGTTGTATGCCTATACTTTCAGAAGTAAACATTTGCTTCATTGTTCTTACACATAAATCCAAACATCAGCTAGTTTGTGGGGGAAAAAAACTGCAGTTTATTTTGAAAAAATATGTTATTATCATGCTCTTATGACAACTTTTTAAAATGTGCTTAAGTTCAAACTAAAAACTAATTTTCCTAATTTCTTGCTTCCCTAGACCATTGTCAGCATTAAGAAGGAACTGTGGAGAACCCATGACTTCATCAATACTCTGCACAGGGAAAGAAGGTAGGAGCCACATGTGAACATGTGAGGAGGGAGGAGCCACATGTGAACACGTGAGAAGGGAGGAGCCGCATGTGAACACGTGAGAAGGGAGGAGCCGCATGTGGACACGTGAAGAGGGAGGGACCACATGTGGACACATTAGGAGGGAGGAGCCGCATATGGACACGTGAGAAGGGAGGAGCCACATGTGAACACGTGAGGAGGGAGGAGCCACATGTGGACATGTGAACAGCAGCTGAGACAAGCCAGGAGCTCTGCCCTAAGCTTTTATAGAGACATTTTCTACAGAAAAAGAAAGAAAGAAAGAAACTCCTTTTTTAAAAAATTGGGAGAAATGATTTAAGCAAAGAAATTCTACATTTCAGTTTGAAGATAAAAAAGCAACCTAATTCGGTATGAGTAGTTACCCATAATGAATATCAGGCAGGAACTACAGTATGATTTCACCTTTGATCACTTGAGGTCATTACTTGAAAGAAGAGTAAGAGGGGCTGTGTATATGGCTCAGTGGACAAAGTACTTGCCACATGATGGCTGGAGTTTGATCCCTAGGAACCATATGTTGCAAAGAAAGAACTGACCACTGCAAATTGTCCTCTAATCTGCACATGGCATATGTGCCCATCTAAACACATGACCACACACACACACACACACACACACACACACACACCCCACATACATAATAAATAAATAATGTGCTATAAAATGAAAACTCTTGCCAGGCATTGTGGGGCACACTAGCAGAGGCAGGTGGATCTCTTTGAGTTCAAGACTAGACTGGTTTGCAGTGGGTTCCAGCACAGCCAGGGCTACATACTGAGACCCTGTCTCAAAATAAAAACAAAACAAAACAAAAAAAATCTTAAGATAGCTGTTTGAAAATAATTTGAAGCTATGTTATTCTGTTATGAAACCCATATCTACTGTGTACATCATTGGCAGCCTAATAAAGTATTTATCACTGCAAAGCATACAAAAGCATCAGGATTTAATTTAAGAAATGAAAACTGGAGGCTACATCTTTGCTGTGTGCATCACCATTTTTATTGATGTTTATATGAAACCGTTGACAGCATACCTCTCCCATGTGTGTGTGGCAAGACATCAAAGGCACTAGTTGAATAAGCAATGCGGGATCACTAACATTTAATTCCTGGAGCAATCAATAAAGACCTAAGCTCCAGCGACTGAAGAAAAGCACTACAGCTGGAGGCCCAGACTCCCAGGAAACAGTGAAAGCATCCCAAGATGAACAGTTAACTACAAGCTACGTAACAGTCAGCTCTGCAATGTCCCTGGCTGTGTAGCAAGGCCTCAGTCTCTGATCATACCCTGAAAGAACATTGTCAGATTGTTGGTGATTCCCCCTTTACTCCATGAAGCCCTGTTAACTGCACTGTGTTTAACCTTTCTGGGGGGATTTGGACTTCTTCTGATGGCCTCATGCACACAGATCAGTGTGTTTAGTAAGAGCAGATATGAAATCTTAAAGGGGCAGATTTTAGGTCATTTGGAAGGAGTTATTTTTCAGATACACTGAAGTTGTTAACAGGCATTTGCTTGGAAAGCAGCAGGCTTCAAACTACTGGAAATAGTTGTAGTAGGTAGATTTTATTTAGTAGAACAGTTTATGAGAATCCTCCTTTTAAAATAAAAAAAAATAGACAATGAAGTGTGGTGGCACATGCCTTTAGTCCTAGCACTTGGGAGGCAGAGGCAAATGGACCTCTGTGAGTTCAAGGCCAACTCGGTCTATGTAGGGAGTTCTAGAATGCTACACAGTGAAATTCTGTCTCAAAAAAAAAATCAGAGATAGGACTTCACCTGGGTTGTTGAAGAATGAGGAACTCCAGCTGTCTAAGCAAGGTGGATAGGCCATAGAGCAGAAAGGATGTATGGTGTGGGCCACATGGGAGAGAGATTAGTGATCAAAAACAAACACAGCACTATGGTGTTAGCTGCCCTGTCCACACATCTCTGAGGATGCTGCTTTGTGAGTTATATAATCCCCTAGACAGACTCCATTCTTAAAAATCTACCATACGAAAGGCTTTGCACTCCAGTTATAGTTAGGATTTTAGAACCAGGTTTCCTATGTACCTGGAAGTTTAAAGGTTCCTGCTCAGAGACACCTGCTTTGGGTGGGAGACCAAGCTATATTCCAAAACCTTTTCCATGCATTACAACACTTAGGAATTTAAAGGCTCTGATATGGAAGAATGTTGCTGTTCACTGTCAGAGAGTTTACTCCTGTAAATCTTGTTACTATGTCCACAGCACTGACCAAAGAGCAAAACCATATTAATTGTATATCTACTATATGACAGAACCAGGAAATGTAGTGATAAACAATGGTAAGGGGGTTTCAGAATGGTAAAATAATACGCAATAAAATAATTTAGTAATTGATAAATAAAACAGGAAGTATACGAGTGTATAAGAAATTAAGGCCAGAAACTAGATAAAAACATGAGCTCTCACCAAGCTTGATAGCAATTAGATACAGAGAAAAACTATACAGAAAAAACAAAGTAGGGAAGGCTCTAGGCAGTGCCAAGGATGAGCCTGGAGTTCTGCTTTGTAGGGAAGTAATGGAGAAGATAAGGAAAGCCTTGTTGGATGTGTAATGTGTTATCAGAGATTGCAGGAAGCAAGGAGGTGACCCAAGCAATAACCCCAGGGGACAAAGGGTCCCTTTCTGCAGAGAGCAGAAAGAGCAGAGGCTGGAGGGAAGAGTGTAGATGAACAGATCTGTGATTCATGAACTATGTGCCTCCTCTGTAGTCTTCATGTTAAGGACATTGCCTTCCCAAATAGGGTATTTCTAGACACCATAATGAATAAAGTCAATCTGTAAGTTTCTGGTTAAAAAATAAAAACCAACAAACAAACAAACAAAAAAAAAAAACATGCTGTCAAAAGTAATCCTAACAAGTTAGGTGAGTAACAAGTTAGGTATTTGGATGGAGTTCAGTGACACCAGTGCACAGATTAACACCCCCCCACACACACACACACAGAGGAGGATCTGCGGAGCTCCTACTAAGTGTGAGTTTGAGCTCCTACTAAGTATGAGTTTCCATTCTTACTCAAACTTTTTTCTTTTCCAGGCTCCTTAGAAAACAGTTAAATAGATACAAACACAAATTGCAAGGCACATACACCTTACAGAAGGAACAGAATTGCAGACTTGAAACAAAGATTCGGGAGCTTGCAACCAACCAGGATAACCTATGGACCAAGCTACAGCAGATGAGACAAGACCTACAGGTACAAATGTGAGAGCCACTGGCTACCTGGACTGCCTAGAAGTCGAATCTCAAGGATGCTCTGCCCCAGGTGGAGGAAGGATGGTGGCTTCACAAAGCTTCACACATCACTTGGATTAGCTTCTTCTTCTCCACCCTCTTCCCTCTCCCCCCAATCTTCTCCTGCTCCATAATGAGGAAACAAGGGGAACAAGTACTCCCATCTAGCATTTGGTATCAGGATCTCTTTGTACATTGTTAAAATTATTTTGAGCTCTCTTTTAGGAGCCTTTATCTCTGTTGGTTATCTACTGCTATTTTTATTCCCATCAAGAAAAAAAAATGAGAAGTGTTTCAAAAACAGTCATTAACTAATTGAGATACAAAATTGATAAACTACTGTATGTATAATGTTTTCAAGCCACAGCTGGGTGTTTTTAGAGCCCGGAAGAGTATCAGTGATTTGTTTGCTTTGTTAAACCTCTATAATGTCTGACTTAATGAAAGACAGCCAATCTTTCCTCACTTCAAGCAAACTATTATACTGGGTTTATTTAAGGCGTGTGAAGAAATCCAGTCTCACGTAGTGGTGCAGTTAGAAGAAAGAAAAACATCTTTCTGCACCCTTTCACGTAGCTAAGGTATTATCCGCTGACACAACATCAAACATAAAAAGCAATTGTTTTTTAAAGGATAGGTGCATTATGAAATCTAAAACCAGATGTTTCATATTCGACTTTATTAAAATCCTGGTGTTATAGCTGCTCTCTGAGTGGAACTATCCGTGTTTCATTTTGTAACATATATTGGCCACGTGGCATGGAATATTGACTCACTGAGCTATGCTGAGCTTCCTAGAACTTGCCAATTTCATTGTACCAGTTTTTTTTTAAAGAAGGAAACATAAGAAGAAAAATTCTCATATTCAGTTTCCCCAATGATGTTGTCAGAAAAAACATTCAAGAATTGAACAGCTATTCCACTCACCCGTGGCAGATACAAGCTTTCTAAAATTTTAATTATTGCTTGAACTTGACTATTATAAATGATAGCAAATAAAGTTAATAATTTTCTTTGCAGTGTCATGTTCACTTGCCTCCTTCCCTCCGCCCAGGAAATCATTGCCTAATACCCTGGTCTGACTGGTAATAATCTGTCAGTGTTCCCTTTGCACAAGAGGAAACGTGTTTCAGGACACATCTGAAATACTATATGGGGGCTTTCCATTTCACTACACGCAATATTGAAAAGACAGATTATTAAGAAAATCTGGAACTTGTGCTATTCCACAAGATACTAACTGAAGCTGACTACTTTTTAACTGGTAGTATATGAGTTTTGTATATTAGTGTTCCCCAGACTCCTGCTGAGGCATTGATGGCTACATTTATTGATGATTATAAACCATCCATGCATACGTCAGTGCAATAGACAGACAACTCAAAGAATGATTATAGAAATAATTTTACTCCACAGAATCCTATAAGAACCCTGGGATCCTAAGGACCCTGGGCCCAACCTTGAAAACAGTGGAACACATCTCTAAACTTTTATACCTCCAGCCTCTCATGAAGTCCCTCAAAGCACACCTCTGAGGCCTATCATTACGAGAATGTTTTAGTGTAGTAATCTGTGCCTGTCAATCACCATGGGTGTATGTTTTAAGAAATTCCTTATGACACCTTTAGGGCCAGACATGTTCAAGACTACATATTTTTCCCAAATTTCTGGCATTATTCCTGCAACATTTTACAACCTGAGCTATGCCAGTCTTACAGAGTTTTAAATCCATATTGAACAGAATAAAATAAAATTACTGAAATTTCACGAGTGAAGCAAGAAGCATGCCTCCAAAGTTGTTGGAATGTTGAGATGTAATGCATTTGTATAATGTATTGAAATGTATTGTGTTATGAAATGTAATGCACTGCGTTGAAGTGTAATGCAAAAAGTAAGAGTTATTTCTTCCTAAAGAAGTTTTTCTTTACCCAGGCTATGTTGCAGCCACTTCATCCTTCACTTCCTCTTCAAAACACAGCATCCAAAACTGACCATTCTTTACCTGATAATGAGCTGCGGAGAGGAGGGGACTCATCCCACATCAAGAGTGTCATTAGGGATGGTCCTGAATGGGAACTTCTCCCTAAGTCTACCAAGACTGACAGAAATCACAAATGTCAAGCAAGATCAGAGAAAGCTCTGCCAGACTCTGAACCCCCAGAGGTCATTTTGCAAGGCACCAGGACACAAAGCCACCCACAAAAGATGCTAAGGGAAGTCCATGCCTCCCCATCTGCTTGCCAGGAGCAACAGCAAAACAATCCCCGGATTCCTCCTGCTGAAGTAAGCAGCCCTGCTCTGGCATCTTCAGCAGGGGAAGAGGTAGACCACATCAGTGAAAGGCTGATTGACCTGGAAGAGGAAGAACTACAAACACTGTTGCCCAGACTCCTGGATGCCTTCGACCAAGACACGCCATCAGGTGAGGTACACTTTGGGTTTTGTCATTTGAGTTGCTATGTTGTGTTTGTCTGTTTGTCTGTTTGAGACAGGGTCTCAGGATATAGCCCTGGTTGGCCCGGTTGGTCTGTCTATGTAGACCAAGCTGGCCTTGAATTCATAGAGGTATGCCTCTGCCTTGAGTGGTGCTGATCAGGTAAGGTTTTCACAGCCAAAAGGCAGAGATTGCCAGGAACTCAGGCTGCCTGTTAAAACACTGAACTTCATGACATTACTCAGCTTTGGAACTCAGTTCCTGCCATTGGCACTAAATGCTGTCAAACATGTGAGACTTTACTATAACATCTAGCACTAGCATCATAGCATTATGTAAATATGTATTAGTCAGCGAGTGAAATCATTGTTAGTAAGCTTAAATCACGCATAGCTGAGCAGCCCAAAGTCACCATTTGAAAATGAGATCAATAATGCTCCTGTTTTGGCATGGCTGAGTGAGGTTTCTCTGTTCTAAGTTGTACCATCATTATCATCGTCAGCTATAATTCATTGCTAAGTTACGAAGGCTTTTGGTCCTCTACTAAAACTCTGTTTTGTAGTCACACTGTCTTCTTTCTGTTTAGAACATATATAAGTTTCTATTTACTGTGGGTAACAGTTTCTTGGTAGGAAATCTGTATGATCTAGAGATTTGTGGGAGAGTGAAATGGCATTTGGGTCTTTTCAATGGCATTTGTGTGTCTTTTCTGTGCTGAAAAAGCCTTCTCAACAGAGTAACGCTTTGATATACTAGTTTTCTACAGATACCATACAGCAATACAGAGGAGGGGACTTGAGCAAGCAATCGAAGAAAAATGAGAAAAGAAGAAATATTTGAAAAGTGCAAAAGGAAAAAAGAGAAAGGAAAGAAGAGAGAGGAGGATTTTGGATGGGCAGGGTGAAAAGAGGAATGATTTTCTCTCTGTCCTAGAGGCTACAAGTCTAAGCTCAAGGTGTCAGAGACACTGGCTTGTCAGGCATCATTTCCCCATTTGTTGGTTGTCATCTTCTATCCATATCTTCATAGCCTTTAGACTGTATACGTTTACATCCTTCTCTCCTTTTGGAGATACCAGTCATGTTTGAATAAAGCCATCACAATGACTTCATTTTAGTTTAATTATCTTTTACACACACACACTTTACACACACACACACCATACAAACAAACAAATGAAAAACCCCTGAGTTCATTTAATGTTGTAATTATCTCTCTAAAGATCTATCTCTAAATATAGTCATATTCTCAGGCTCTGGGATTTAAACTTGGGGGTTTGAGGGTCAAAAGCAGCCCATGACAGAGAGATATAGCTTCGGCTATAGAGCTATAGAGCCATAACCTAATAATGTCAACTTTATATTGAACTTAGTAGAGTCTGGTCAATGAAACAGAAAGTATTGAAGTCACAATCATAGTATAAAAGGTAATGGATTCTCAGAGCTATCTGGGGCATAGGACAGACAGGATGAAAACTCTTCTTGCTGTATTCTTAGACCAACACAAAATGCTATGCCCTGTAGTTCTCTAAGCATCTTTGGGGTCAGGATGAGTATTCAAAACAAAGTCAATATCCACTTCACCTTTTCAGGGAAATGTCACTGGTCAATTGGGCTTTATTGAAATGATTGTAGTTTACCTTGATTTTTGCTTTGTTTTTATTTTCCAAGTGAGCTGATGAAGCTTTTTTATTGGGTCAGCCCTCACAAATGCAGTTGCTACAGTGTGTACTTTAGATTCTTTTTTTTTTTTTTTTTTTTTTTTTTTTTTTTTTTTGGTTTTTCAAGACAGGGTTTCTCTGTGGCTTTGGAGGCTGGCCTGGAACTAGCTCTTGTAGACCAGGCTAGTCTAGAACTCACAGAGACTTACCTGCTTCTGCCTCCCGAGTGCTGAAATTAAAGCCATGTGCTACCAATGCCCAACTAGGTCTATATTTTAGTATCTTAACATTTGTCCAGTTTCATACCTAAGGATAGGAAATGAATGCACATTAATTGGACTTTATCAAGGTCTATCTATATCTATATATTTATATTTATCATCATTATAAGAAAATTATAAAAGAGTAAGTGCATTTCTAAGTCACGATGATGTGACAATGTGTACTATGTAATGAGAATTATCTAATATTTTGGAACGTACTTTTCAAATGTCAAATTTTCACCTGCTTGCTTCCACTCACAGTAGAACCACAGGGATGTTATTATGGGAAGCATGCATTATTATTGTACAAATATTCTTACGATTCAAAAATACTAATTTTCTTTTATGTGTTTTATGTGTGTGAAATATACACATGTGGTGTGTGTGATGGTCAGTGTACCCGCAGACACCCAGGGAGACCAGAAAAGAGCATCATGGCTCCTGCTCTATCACTCTTTACTATATTCCCTCAAGACAGGGTTTCTCACTGAATCTGGAGGTAGGCTGGCATCCAACATGTGTTAACGATGCTTCTATCTCCACCTCTCACTGTGCTGGGGTCACACATATGTGCAGCCATGACCAGATTTTTATGTGAGCAAGAGGGATTTGAACTCAGGTCTTCCTGCTTCTGCAGCAAGTACCCTTACTCCCTGATCAGTCTCGTCGAACCCCCAGAAAACGTTATTTTTTTAAGGTTTAAATTTATTATCTTCTTCTTTACAAGTCATCTTTCTTTTCATGGCTCAAGAGTAAGGCATGAGGATGTGTGTCAACGTCGTGGATAGTATTTCTCATTGTGTATCTTCTGCTTGTTTGTTTATTTTGAGACATGGTCTTATGTAGCCCAGACTGGCCTAAAACTTGCTATGTATGGAAAAATGACCTTGAACTTCTGGTTCTCCATTCTCTACTTTCCCAGTGTTAAGGTTACAGATGTGTGTTGTTATTTCCAATTGATATAGTGTGAGGCATCAACCCACAGCCCTGCACATGCTAAGCGAGAGCTGTGCCCATATTCCCAATCCTATATTTAAATTTTTATTTTCATTTCAAGCTGGTGTGAGTATAATCTATTTTTCAAACTGCACTTCACCCTTGGTAGTATAGATTATATAAAAAAATCCTCCATAGCCTATATACTATCTATCCAGACTTATCATTACACTAAAGTTAATTATAGCCAGACGTACGATAGTCACACCCATGAACATGTGGAAAATACAGCTAAATTATCAGCCACTTGTGTTTACTTCTAAGCTTTTAGTAGAAGCACCAGTTTACAACAAAAAGTTTCTCACCACTTTACTGCCCACTTTTATATAAAGAACTGTTTTTAAAAAGTTAGAAATGCCTAGTATACAATAGCCCAAAATTTACCCAGACCGAGAGTCACTGTATTGATCTAGTATGGCAATTAACCTAGTAGTGTAGCGCCCATGCTACGATCTGTTTCATGAATCGGGCGAAGGCCTAGAGATTGAAATAAGACACAAGACAGCGGGTCATTCGTTCAATGGCAATGTGGGATGCCGAATGCCGAGTGCTGTTTATTGAGGGCATGGAGTGTGCTTATATACTGACATACAGCACATTGGAAAATAACAGGATTTTCAGGCTTAGCTCCTCCCCACCAGGTGCGTGTTAACAAAACAGGAAGAGGACCAATGACAACTCCAGGGGGCAGGAAGAGCACCAATAGCAGCTCTGGGGCAAGAAGTTCTGGCTTCAAGCTTGCTCAAGGTTCCTTGGGGGGTCCATGCAGGGCCCTACATAGAAGGTGATTGCCTTTGTAGATGACAGTTTCATTAAGAAACCACATTGTGAGGGCTGGAGAGGTGGCTCAAAGGTTAAGAGCACTGATTGCTCTTCCAGAGGTCCCAAGTTCAACTCCCAGCAACCACATGGCGGTTCACATCCATCAATAATGAGATCTGATGCCCTCATACATGCTGGCAGAACACTGTCTGCACAATAAATAAATAAATCTTAAAAAAAAAAAAGAAACCACATTGTGTAAATGAAGACGAACTATATTACTTAAAAGCTTAAGGGGAATGAAACAGAAAAAAAACTTGATGATCATTTTGAGGCTACCATTTACATTAACTGAATTGAATGATTCTGTATCAAGATACAAGATAATGAGGTTTCCAGAGACCATGGGAGTTATAATTCAGAGAGAGAGAGAAGAGAGTATATAAGGAGGTCGGCAAATCTCTTTAAATTCTGAATGGTAAAAGTTAGTCGCAAATAAATTAAGGAAAAACTTTCAGAAAAAAATTAGATCTGAAGGGATTTTTAGTTTTTTTCCTCCTATGATAAAAAACATATAACCTCTGGTTTTGTTACCTCATTTCATTATTTCTTTCTACTCGAGGTGAATTTTCCCATGCACGTCTGTCTAGTCAGTTCTTTTTATTGTCACTCAGGGGCGTTACTCTCCATTTGCCACTATTAGTTTCAGTTGTATGCCAGGAAGACAAGAGTTGTGCGGCGGAAGCAGGAGGGCATGGCTTAAAAGCAAGCACGGGGTGAGCCCACGTGACAGCACTTGGCCAAGGCTCCTTGCTCACACTCCGCACAAAACATGAAGCTGGTTGTGTACGCCTTTCATCCTTTAATCCCTGCGCTCTGGAGGCAAAAGGAAGCAGATCTCTCTGAGTTTGAGGCTAGCCTTGTCTACAGAGTGGTAAAAGGAAAAAAAAAATCTGTTTTGCAGTATTGAAAGGAACTATCTTTACATTTTACATCCTGAAAGCTTTAAACAATAAAAACAGAAAGCTGGGACTAACCGGAAGATTGGAGATGTTACTAACACAGCTTATGAGACCTGTTGCTGGGGCTTTTACCATGAGAACACAGGAAGAGCTTTATGAGACTGAATGAAGAATAGAAGTTGTGACTTTTTTTCCAGCTGAATGATTTTTTTTTTTTTTAACACAAATGGGCAGGGGTAGAGGGAGAAGAAACTTGGTCCAGTCAAAGCAACAAGGCAGAGCTCCAGAAATGGACCTTAATGAAGGAGAAACATATGAGTCACCTGACAGAGAATTCAAAACGGAACACGTGAAATAAGGAAGCAGGAAGTGGAATCATCTGAGGGAAGAAAGGCAACCAGCAGGGGGAAGTAGGGCAGAGGAAGGGTAGTGGAGAAGGGGATGAACAGGAACAAAGTTAATGCCATGTCTATGAAAATTCCGTAATGAAACCCATTCCTTCGTGTGCTAGCCTAAATCTTAGAGTATTTATAAACTGCCAGAAAGATGATCAATGAACTCGGGCAATCCATGAATGAAAAATGAGAATTTTAACAAAGGGCAAAGTGTGTGGAATTAAACAGAAATTCAAAAAGAAGATAAAAACTTCAGTGAAAGGATTCAATGGGAAATCGAATCACGCTGAAGAGAGAGCATTTGAAGTTTGCCAGATGATAAAAATGAAGACTGAAGAAAGCCCAAAAGGTGGAGATACGCGATGCCGTGGAGATACGCCATGCCGTGGAGATACGCGATGCTGAGGAGATACGTGATGCCGTGGAGTCACCATTGTACCTATTACACTAGTTCTAGGTGCAGAACAGAAAGAGGGACAGAAAACAGAACCTAAGAAACAAGGACCCAAAATGTCAAGTACTGGAAAGTCAGACAACAGGGTGCCAAGCAATGAAGCCCAAGAGACCCCAAATTAGATGAACTCAGAGGAGTCCATCACAAAACAAGACACATTATAATCAAATTGTCAGGAGTCAAATACAAAAGAAAGTTCTGAACATGGCAAGTGACCCTCATAATACAATAAACATATTTCTCAGGCTAGGGAGACATCATCTGATGTGTTAAAATGCTAAAAGAAAAAGAGCACTACCAGCCAAAAGTATTCTAACCCCAAAGCCATTTGGTGAAAGTAAATATATCAGAGAGTAATACAGGGTACCATAATACTGAAATGAGGTGTACATACACTTGGCTGGCTTGATTTCTCTCAGAAGGACATGGGCTCAGTGTTTCAGTTACCCTGAGGAGTAAACATAGACCAGGTGGTTCAATAGTTTCTAGTCTTTAATATACTGCTGATAGCTTTCTAGCACATTCCTGATTTATACTATAGTTAAGTGAATAATTTTGCTATTGTGATTCTCTCTGAACTATCAGTTTCATAGATGCTACATCTATGTAGTGTGTAATATGTGGTATATTACTTCAATACACACACACACAAGTACATATTTGTACATAGCCTATTACTTGGGGTGTGCGTGCATGTGTGTGTGTGTATGTTTGTATGTGTCACAAGTGTAGATCAAATAGTGGGCTGGATGGTGGGTCATGACTTTCAATATTTTAAAACATAATTTTGAAAGAATGGAGCTAAGAAGAGCAAGAAGAAAAGCTCTCATGTATGAAGTGGATTACTGCTGTCCTGTTTCTGTGTCACTATACTTAATGTTTTCACTGGAGAGCAGAAGAGATGGCTCGTCAGGTCAAGGAGCTTGCTACCCAAACTGACATTCTGTATTCCATCTCTGGAACCTACATGGTGGAAAGAGAATTGAACCTGAACCCTGCAAGTTGTCCTCTGATCTACACTCACACATATGTGCACTCACACATACACAGGCAAACAAATAAGTAAGAAAATAATTAATAAATGTAATTTTAAATTTTTTATTACTTTGGAAGAAAATAATAAATTGATTGCTGTAAAATAAGTGTTTTAGTCAGGTAATTAAATATGGTTTATCCAAGGTACTGTATCCCTGGAGCAACGTGAGAGGATTCAAAGAGTAATGGTGGTTTTACTCATCTTGAATCCCACAGAAAATAGTGCAAATATAATTACACTACAACTATGTCACTATCCAGAGATCTTCTGAGTCTTCATTTTATGATCTTATTTCTCCTCAATTATATAACATGTATTGCCTGTGAATTAAAATACCAAAGTATACAACTTTTGCAAATGTTAGTTTATTCGCATGTCCTTCACTTACCCTGTTTCTTACAGATAATCTTCTTACAAGTTTAGGATGTTTCATTTCTAAAATAATTATCTACATGTTAGGGGATGATTAAATGCAAAAGAGAACAGATTTAAAAAAAAAATAAAAATAAAAACACATCAAGGTTTTTTACAACAGTGCCAAACTCTGTTAGTTCTACAACACAATCCTTATTACAACAGATTCTGGGGAACACTCAAAATTTTTTTAATTAAATTATTTTTACTCTAATATGTACTACTGTATTTACATCACTTATTCTCTCCTGCTCCCTCTTACTCCTCTGACCCCTTCCCTATCTACCGCCAGCCCCTGCTCTCTCTCAAATTCATGGCTTCTTTTTCTTTAATTATTAATATTATCATATATAACATGAATAAATGTATAATACAACCCCTTAAGTCCATGTGGCATTGCTATATGTATATGTTTTCAGGATTGACTGCTTGGTATTAGATAACTAGTTAGGGGGCTCATCCCTGGTGAAGACTAATCCTCCCTCCCTCTGTAGCCGTTAGTTGCTTGTAGCTTTTCATGTAGGGATGGACCCCCATGAAACTTTCTCCCATCCCCATTGTCATTTTAACTGATGTCACTGTTCAGATCTTAAGCAAGGCAGTCATATTGTTGAAATTTCATGGATATCACTTCCCTGTTATATATAGAAGACACTATCTCACAAAAGATGTCCTGTACCAGAGTCCAGCGTCAGCTAGGGTCCAGGTCCTAAGTTGGGGAAGGGGCATTGGCACAAGGAAAGTTTCTGACCACTAAGTGGATTGCACTCAAGTGACCCCAAATAACTCAGGCCATCTTTATTTTCACTTAAACAAACTTAGCAGGGTTACGTGAACAGCTTTATATTTGGCTTTTATTTTTGACCTTAAATACATGACCATTTAAGGAATACACAGTAATCATCATGAAAGCCCCCATTGTCTCTCCCAATATACCTTTCCACCCCCCATAACTTTATTCTATACATAGAGTTGGGCGTTTTTACAGCCTTAACTAAATATCCAGCCAGACACATCCTGCTCTTGCAGTACTTAAGTCAGCTGGCTGCTGCTTGCAGTTACAAAGTTAAAGTAGCAGACATAGACACCAATCAGACAATTATTTCATGTCTGCAAGATACATTTTTATACAGTTCCCTTTTCTACAAGAGGGTCTCATGTCTCAATCTCTCTGTAAAAGGCAGACTTTGACAAGCACTCTTTTTCCATTTCACTACACCATACATCTTCCACCGGGATAAGCTTCTGTGTATGGAATAGATAGATCTCTCCATCCCATATTTTACATTGCATTATTCCTATCAGAATACACTAGATCTTATCATTGATTCTATATGATTGGTTCCCAGGGAACTTACTTTCAACTGTTGACACTACGTGTATTCCTGAACCTTTTCCATAGTCTGTGTATGCATGCCCTACTTTCCTTTCTAGAACTGTGAGACATGGTTAATGTTCCAAGTGTTGTTCTCTCATATGTACTTAACTCTCTCTATTTAGGGTCAGAAAAGCTCCCGGGATTAGGAGTTGTAGTTAATAATTCCAGATAAGAGATTTGAGAAACATTGGTCCCCTGTTGAATCTTAGGGAAAATATTTGAGAAAGAACAGTATTTCCAGGGAAAATTATAGATGTTGCATGTGTGACTAACAAAGTAAAACTAAAAACTGCCCAAAGAACCACAAATACAATGAGAGAGAAAAGAAAGTGTAAGTTGCATACATTTTGCAAATTTCTACACTGTCTTGTGAACTATTGGTCCTTGCCAAGTGAGAGTCTGATTCCACGGGTGCCTTATCCCAAGGGAATCCATTGAATAGGTAGTCTTGCTAACCTGAGACTAGGCTGCAGGCTCCCAACAGTCCTGGTCATCTAGGTCTTTCTATAACATCTTCCATGATGCTACCTGAGCCTTGTTTATAGAGGCTGTGTTATATCGTGGATCAACAGAGGTTGGGCTCCTCATGACAAGTTATTTTTTGCATTTTGATGAGTTGTTACTTTCTTTAAGGATCTCCGTCTTCTGTTAGCTGCAGGAAGGTGATCTTAGAATGTGGCTCCTTAACCAGCTGCACCTGGAATTTGCAGATTACTGTGTGGGTGCAGAGAAACTGAACACAACTCTTGTAGCAGGGAGTGGTTACCCATGTCTTCCAATACTCTTCAGGAGGTTACAATATGCAGCAATGTTTCTACAAAAGCACTTTGAAGTAGGCTCTCTAGTCCTATAGATTCATTCTAGCAGCCAGGATGGATTAGTAAGACAGACCATAGTTAAGAACCAGATGTCTTCTCTACTGAGGGAAAGGGAATGGAGAGAAGATGGGATCTCATTCTTCTCTGTGGGTGAGAACTGTAGCCACACAGATCTTCAGAATCCAGATGTATTTTTCTAAAAGCTTTTTGTTTTTTTTTTTTTTGTGTTTTGGTTGCTGATTTCAGGTCCAAAGCCTTCAGAGGACATGGAGCTGTATGGTAGAGCTGAACAGGTGTGCAGGGCTTTCTCTGCCCTTGTGGATCAAATCATCTCACCCAGCTTGGAGTGAAAAGGAATCCAGGTTAAAAGGCCACTTGGTGTGATGGCAAACCCTTTATTCACAATCCGAATTTAAAAGAATTTAACTTGCAGCATCTCTCTAAATGTTTTATATGAGGTTGTGAACTTGTGTTTTGGGTTATTGTCTTTAACCTCCTTACTCATGCATCTTAGTTCTTCAATGCAGAGTTAAACTCTGAGGGCAAAGAAGTAGAGAGGAGGGAAAAAGATATCACACACAGCAGCAGCTTATCAAATTCATGTAGCTGAATTTCAATTAGAGGGCCACGCTATATATTTTGGTAGTAACACTCAATTGTGTGATCTACATGAATGCAAAAAACAGCCTTCAAGTATCATTTGTAAAACTGAATTAATGGCCAGATTTTCTATCTGAGCTGAACACACACACACACACACACACAGAGTGCATATGAAACTGATGAAATCCATTTAAAATCTGGATTACATTGCACCATTGCCAATTTTCTAGTTGGGATGTCGTAATGTAGTCACAAAATGTTCATATTTTGAAAAATTCAGCAAAAGATACATCAGTGTCTCTGTACCATTACTTATAAATATATAAATCAGCAAAAAGATCAATTTTTTTAATTGTTTATTTCCAAAACAAATTAAAAAAAAAGAAGAAGAACACATCTGATGGGTTTTACTAAAATTCCTTATATGAATTCTTTCTCCTGGTGTTGCATTGTTACAGTTGATGTTTATACTGATATCTAGAATAATATTTAGCATCCTTTGACCAATAGAACACATAGTTTCTAAGCATCATCGTATTGCATTAGCATACTTAATTCTCACAACAGAATGAAGGAGTCTACAGCTTCTTTTATAGGAAAAGTGAAGGCACCAAGATATCAAACAACTTCCAAAGTCATTCAGCTAGCACTTTGTGTCAGATTCAAACCCTGTGCTTAACTCACTAGTTTCTTATTTCTCTCAATAAATATTGCTGTGATTCCAATGCTTTGCTCTTCAGTCCCTGTTACAGAAAAAGTGATCAATCAGTCCTAGGATTGAATCATACAAAGTGAAATAAGGCCCAAGAATGTTTAGGACTACGTTTTTTCTCAATCAATAATCCCAACATTTAAAACTTATTTAAATATAATCCCAATATTATTTTTTTTCTTTTAAATCAACCATAATTTAGTTAGGTTGTGTCACTTATTATAATTACTTTCCTAGTGGGAAGTGCCCTTGAACCAATAGGCACAGGAGACCACTTCCTGAACATAACACCAGTAGCAAAGATGCTGAGATCAACAACTAATGAATGGGGCCTCCTGAAACTGAGAAGCTTCTGTAAAGTAAAGAACGCAGTCAACAAGACAAAATGGCAGCCCACAGAATGGGAAAAGACCTTTACCAACCCCATATCTGACAGAGATCTGATCTCCAAAATATAAAAAGAACTCAAGAAACTAGTCACCAAAACACCAAATAATCCAATTTAAAAATGGGGTACAGATCTAAATAGAGAATTCTCAATAGAGGAATTTCAAATGGCCAACAGGTGATGGGAGATGCCATTCTGTATATATGTTTCTCATACTGGTTTAATGAATAAAGCACTGTTGGCCAATAGGAAAGGTGGGACTAGGAGACAAGGAGGAAAGAAGAGTAGTAAGGAGGAGTCAAGATGGAGAGTCTGGAGAGAATAGGATGCCAGTTGGCTCTCCAGTAAGAGCACATGAAAATATTAGATTAACAGAAATTGGTTAATAATTAGGACAGAGCTAGCCGATAAGAAACTAGCACCTGGTCAACAGCATTATATCAAATACGGAGTGTGTTAATTGGGGCTGGCCCGGCGGTGGGACCAGACCAGTGGCAGGAGGGAAAACCTTACTCCTTACAAACAGGCACTTAAGAAATTGCTCAATATCCTTAGCCATCAGGGAAATACAGATCAAAACAACTCTGAGATACCATCTCACACCTGTCATAATGGCTAAAATCAAAAACACCAATGACAGCTTATGCTGGAGAGGATTTGGAGAAAGGGGAACACTCCTCTATTGCTGGTGGGAATATAAACTTGTACAGCCTCTTTGGAAATCAGTATGGCAGTATCTCAGAAAAAAGGGAATCAGTCTACCTCAAGATCCAGCAATTTCACCCTTAGGCATATACCCAAAGGCTGTAAAGAACATCTGTTCAACTATGTTCATAGCAGCATAATTTGTAATAGCCAGATCCTGGAAGCAACCTGGATGCCCCTCAACTGAAGAATTGATAAAAAAAAAAAAAATGTGGTACATTTACACAATTGAGTCCTACTCAGTGGGGAAAAAAATCACATCTTTAAACTTTTAGGCAAGTGGATGGAACTAAAAGAAACCATCCTGAGTGAGGTAACCTAGACACAGAAAGAAAAACATGGAAAGTAGTCACTCATAAGTGGATATTAGACATAGAGCAAAGGATAACCAGCCTATAATCCACAACACCAGAGAAGCTAGGAAACAAAGAGGACTCTAAGACAGACATACATGGAGCCCCCTCCCTCCAAGAAGGGGAAAGGGACAAGATCTCCTGAGTAAATTGGGATCATGGGGGGAGGAGGGAGGGAAGAAGGAGAAAGAGAATGGGAGAAGGGGAGTGGGGAGAGAAGGGGAGTGAGGGATCAGGAAGGCTGGGTTGTGTTACAAGCAGTTTCCCGCCAGCCTGGACCCACAGCTGTATCAGTCCCAAATAGCACACGGAGACACTATATTAATTATAAAGCTGTTGGCCAATGGCTAGAGCTTCTTATTCACAAGCTCTGTCTTAAATTTTAACCCATTTCTATCAATCTAAGTATTTCCACGTGGTCTTATCTTACTGGAGAGAGGGTCCAGACATCTTCTCTCACACCCTACATCTTGACTCCTCTCTACTACATCTCCCAGAATCCTCCTTGTCTCCTAGTTCTGTCTATCTTGCTTTCCTATTGGTCAATGGGGCTTTATTCATTAACCAATAAGAGAAACATATATACAGAATGACATCTTTTATCATCTCCTCTTTTCTGTCTAAAATGAAAAGGGTTCTAACTTTAACATAGTAAAATATATAACAAAACAGTTATCAAATAAAAACTATATTAATAATATTTAGTCCACTACCATTATCAAGAATTAAGGAAAATATTCTATCATCTATTCTATATTTGCCAGTCAAAAGTCTTATATTACTTATGTTTAATCCTAACCAAGGAAAACTATAACCATAACTATCTGTCTTTAACTCCATCAAAGACCACAGAAGGAGAATATCTAAACTCTGGAATTGACAGAGACATCCAAAGTTCTTCTGTAAATTGGCACATCCATCTTCAGCCCATAGGCCATAGTGTGTCTGGCAGACTCCTCAGCAAACCAGGAATCTTTAAACTGTCTACCAGTATAGGCAGTTTGTCAGTCACTTTTCTCTGTGTCCTGCAGAATGTCTGACAGACTCTTCCATGAAGCAGGAACCCTGTAGCACTGTCCATCTTGTACCAGCAGTCACTTTTCTGTGAGTCCTGCATGTCCCTTTATACAGCATAAAGTCTAATAGTCCAGACAAGTGCAGTCTCTTGCACAAATGGCTAGTCTTGTCATATTGGGAATAAACTATATGAGTTTCTTTGATGTCCATCTTCCTTTGTGACACAGGTGGTACTGCCAGGAGCAGTTATGTCTCACTGTCAAGAAAAACCCTAAACCATTTTAGATGCCATTTTCTGTAGGTCTTTGAAAGATTTGAAGAATGCCTATCTCTATATATCTATAAAAACTTAACAAACCTAACTATAAGGTTTGATTATTATAGGTAACTATCTACAATCTGTACTTAATTTTACATTACATTTTTAAATGGGCTATCTAAACACAATACTTACGAGGAGATATATACATATCACAAAATTAACCTTAAATTTGTATCAATAAATTAAAATCCATTCCAAAATAAAGTATTCATTTCTAGGCCATAATCCCCTTTTTACCTTTAAAAGGTAAAAGGCTGTGATCATTAACCACTTATAACCAACCCCATTTAAATAAAAACAAACATTTATAGACAATATTTGGGAATTTGGGCTTTTTTTTTTTTTTTCAAACTGCTTCCTGCTGTTAGGGAATGCTGTCTTTGGGATACTAAGAAGACACAAAAATCCTGGCTGTAGTGGCCTGCAAGGTTGCCTTGACCTAGCTGTTTTGAATGTTGGATCACCTGGGACACTACTTCAGGGGGCCTTGCTTGATCAAACCACATTAGTTTGGAAGGAATCCACAACTTTTCATTTTCTGTGGAAACGAAAATAGAAATTCTTTTCCCCAGTTACCTGTCCTTAGACTTAAATTTTGAAGTCCAAACATTTTTAAAATATATAAGTTGAATTAATTTAGCAGCATTGATAATCACTGTAATTTAGCAGTTGTTCCTTAGCAATTGAGCAATTCAAAGACAACACAATAGCATACAGTATCCAATCTCTCTGTGTAAATCCCATCTTTAGATTTTTATTTTTATTACTCTATTTCTTTTTTTTTTTTTGCATTTTTTTTTAATTTATTATTTTACATGTCGATCCCAGTTCCCTCTCCCTCCCTCCCTCCCCTTCAGCCATCCCTCCCCCTTCCCTCCCTTTTACCCTCTCTGCCCTCTCACATGCACTCTAAACACCCTCCCCTCTCATCCCCCCACCACAATTCCATATGTAGGGGAATGCCATCCAGTTGGGGTCATGTACATGTGACAGGTCCTGTGAAGTAGGGACTAGGGCTTCTCTCCTGTCTCTAGAATAAGGCAGTTATCCCTCCATGGGGGATATGTTTGCAAAGTCCTTTTGTGCACCAGGGATACATCCTGGCTCCACTGTCTGAGGTCTCTCAGACTGCTCAGACCTTCTGGCTGAGACCCATATTCAGGGGGGGGGCCGAGGCAGTCCCCTGCTGGCTTCCCAGCTATCAGTCTAGTGGCCCTTAGCTCCTCCTTGTTCAGGTAAGCTGTCTCTATGTGCTTCTACCGCACGGTCTTGTCCTCTCCATCTGCTTCTGGGTTCTATTTCAACTCAGTGTTTATGTATGGGTGTTTGCTCCTATTTTCAACAGGC